CTCCTACACACAATCGGATTAGTATTACTCAAGGCATCCTGCGTGATAGTTCACATTTGTTTCGAAACTCTTTTAGGGTTGGACAGATTTCAATTTCGGATTCTTAATGTTTGGACTCTAAAAGAACTCTCATGCTCCTAATGACGAGGCAGTAATCATTTTGCTTCTAATTCTCCTAAAAATAGGAAAGAAAGCTCTTAACTCCTTCCATACCACGCCCATTGGCCATCAATTACCTCTGATCAATGATCTGTGCACACTTCCAAAGTTTGAATTTGGCTATAGGGAGACGTTGAGCCCTCTCGTGTATAACAACCGCAGCGGCGTTTCATCTTCAAGGCATAGAATTGTTGCGGAGCTTTGTTGTAGCTTCTTAGGCTGTCCTGAGCCAGGACACACAATCTGTGTGCCGCAAGCCTTAAAATTATAAAATGTTTTGGCCATCCCTCGAAAATCGGCCCGTTTCCTCGTGGTACGGAAAGAGTTAATTGTGAGATTTTGAGCTAAATTGTTTTTCAAACTGCAATACAGCCATGAACATCCCTTAGATGCCAAAATACCATTTTGTGGCAAAAGCATTTTTTTTTTTTTTCATTTTTTCAATACTACACGAGGTAAAACAATGGTCATTGCATTCAGAGCTCCAGGTGTTATGGTCCTAAAGAATTTGTGTTTGTGCAAACTCAATTACAGACACATTTGTGAAACAAGAGATCTAGTTTAGACATGTCATTCTGACATTTTGATCCATGCTTTTTTTTTTACTGATTTATGCCTTATGCAATGATTCATTCATTCATTCATTTATTTTTTGTGCTCATGAGCAGCTTGAAGCCTTGATAATGATGCACAAATTAACATACAGCAAAAAGAAGAAGAATTCTATAAATTGACAATAGAAAACTTGAACGCTACAAAAGGTGGTTGTAGGTTTGTAAGAGAAAACTTGAAAACTTGAATGATCAGAGGGGCTTTGCCAATCTGCAGCAGTAGTTGCCTTTTCTACTTGTGCCACATGACTGCAAGATAAGTTATGGCTGAAATAACTAATTTATCTTTTAACACCATCAGAAACTGGTGACGTTATAAAGACATTCGAAAGTGCATTCTCAAAATGGTTGCGATGAAATCAAATACTTAAAGGAAATCTTGTTTCTTTTTATTTTGGCCTCGAAAATCATGACTAGCATAATTGTTTTGTACTGTAAATAACAGTTGCTAAAACTTTGCATGTTTTATTTTTGCTTATGCCAAGTAGCATTACGAGCACAAATGACTCGTTATTCACGAGAGAAAAATGTGTCAAAATTTAGCATAAACCTTTTTCTTTTTTTTGTAGAACCTCTTTAGTTTTATTTTAAAACGACATTGCACTTTCAGTGAAAACAGTTTCTTAAACTGTTTGGGTAGGCAAAGTATGTCACCAAATCTGTTCTTCCTCTCTCTCTTCAAAAAGAAAAAAAAAATTAATACAATGTTTATGCTGCAATGCACAATTTAGATAAAGCCGTAGATGCAGCGTATTGGCCGTCCTGCTCCATGCTCATTTTAGCCGGTAGAAAGCTATAAAAATCAGTTCCGTTTTTGTCCCTCTGACCATGTCCTCAAAATGGAAGTGACTTTTATTTTGAGTCGGGCAGCTAGGAGCAAACAAAATCACTCCAAACTTAAAGTCTGTATTGTGGCGTAAATATTGCATTGTTTAATTTTTTTGGTTGGGGGAATGCATTTTATGACATCCCTGTCCCATTCAGGCAGTTAAGAAAGTTTTTTTTGGAAGTGCAGTGTGCCACTAAAAGCAAAGGAAAGAGGAACAGGGAAGCAGATGTGGCTTGATGCAGGAAGCTTGTGGCTGTCTGTGTGTACAGTGGTGGTTGCTGCCTCGCTCAATTTCCCTCCCCTTTCCCTCACCCTCTCACCTGCTCATCCCATGGCTGTGCTGGGTTTGCATCTGTAGGCTCCTCTTTCAAGCGCGCTCGGTGTTCGGACCGCAGTCTGGCAGGTCAGTGTTCCTGCGTTCAGACCCTTCCAAGTGATTGCGACCCCTTTGTCGAATGACGCGGCTTCCCTACACAATCCCTACTTGGAGTTACCTCTTCACGGAGGGAACTCGCGACAGAACAGACTCCCAAGAAGCAAGGTGCTAGCTAAGCAGTTCTAAAATATGTAAGCAGCCAAGTGCACTCTTAGTAGAGCAAGACCTTAGTCATGTAATCACTTAACTAAACCGAGCTCTTGAGTTAGGCTTGTTTTGTCTCACCTAGCCAAAACAGGTCTTAAGTTACGTCTTAACTGAATAAGCTCGTAACTCAGCAAGCTTTCCACTCTGTCTGGTCTTGACCGAGCAAGCGCTTGACTGAGTATACTCTTTGCCAGGCAATCTCTTAATCGAGTCATCTCCGAGTGCGGTAAATTCACTAAAAGAAGAGTATATTCTTATCTAAGTTAACTTGCAGCTAAGTAAGCTATGACCCTGGTTAGCCCTGAATCTAGTTAGCTCTAAACAAACCAGTAACTGCCCGAGCAAAAAAAAAGACCTTTTAATTGAAAAATTTTTAGCCATGTGAACTGCCAGCCAGATGCACCATCAAGGACATAAGCTCTATGTTGAGTAAACTCTCAACTGAGTAAGCCTTATACTAAAGTATAAAAAAAAATTGCTCTTCCATTGAAGAGTTACTTCATGGAGGAGTGACCACAAAGTAATTCTATGTAACAGCCCTGTTTCTAATAGCAACCTTTCCATGGAGGGAATGTCCCTCAGTGGAAGGATTGTTGCATGCACATTGTGCCCTGATGTTCATATATTTTTTTTTCCACAGGGTGAGGGCACCTATAGTCTTTTATGCTCAAATTGCTTTGCATTTTTTGAGAGGGAGTGCACACAACAACATTGTTTCTTGGCACGAGGTTGTGGCTTTAGCCAGGGCTCTGTCAGCATTTTGTCTCCCATTAGCCTTGCATCATTACGGCTGCACTTGTACACGAAAGGATGCCCTCACCCTGAGCCTGATGGGCAAGAGAATGGTTAGTTCCTGGATTAGTCTTTGTGTGAAGAATAATCTAGATTAGTTAGTGCTTTTGCCATGCATGTATGTTTGCTTTAGCGTCATCAGAGCAGTGTGGAAGTTACAAGTCATTGAGACTTGTATGTCCCGTGTGTGGCTCTGGCACTGTTTGGCTCATTTTTAAGACCGTTCAGTGTTATGGCTTTGTACTTGTAAGATGCATGGTTCCTGCCGCATCGCTTCCATTGCAGACTGTAATCGGTACATGCTTCATTGCTGTCGTTTTTGTGCAGATGCAATCATTTTATTGTCAGAGAGGAGCTTCTCGCTAGTTTGTGACTGACGTTACGAGAATTTATTTAAGGCACAGCTCTGTCAGACGATACCCTAGAGGTCTTTTGCAATAAATGTCCTTTCCGCTAAAGGCCATTCTGGTAAAGGAGCTGCTGTCACACAGCCGACAAAATCCGGTTTGACGGTGACATTGACTGCTTCGGGGTTTACCATCAATAGACGAAACTGAAGGAAAAAATATTATTCTAAAATGTTTAAACACGTTTGAAACATACAGCGTTTTTACACCTTCTGTATGATCAGTATTGAACTCGGACATTCCAATGTTTAGCTCGTCTTCGACTAATATTTAACTAGTTGTTATTGTGTAGCCTAAACAAGGTAAAAATGTGCCAAAATTTTATGCCAGTTACTTCCTGCTTATTTTCCTTTCTTGTTCGTGAGTGTTATTGCTACTACCTTCGTTAATTATGCAATCTTATCTAGTTTCATGACCTGGGCATCATCTCCTCAGGGATGAAAACCATGATCATCCTGATCATGCTTTTTCTATGCTTCATAATCCAGGCGATTCATGAGCATGCAAAATAAACAGCTTATCAGGATGATCATAATGGTGAGGACCATACTTCAGGCAATAACTGTGGAAATCTTTGGATACCTGAGGTACCTAACCGTGAGAGTATAGTAAATTATCACCCACTTGCAAAAATCTAGAAATCACCGAGAAATCAGTGGTTAAAAAAAAAAAAATTGGCACATTGTCTACACCTAAGTTTAGTGCTTCCATTTCAGCAACGTGCTTAGTGGCTACTGTCGGCAGTATCCCTTATTGTGCGAAAGGGCTGTTGCGGAGCTAATTTTCAGAAAATGGCATTTTAGCAGAGAGGCCGTGCGGCCATAGAAAGAACCTTCTCCTTTTGGAAGAAGGTTCTTTCTATCGTAGGCTCGGGCAGAATGAGAAAGGCATCGAGGTCCTTCGGTTCTCCCTCTTCCTCCAGCACAAACTTCGTACCTTCGATGGCACTTTGGCGTCTCGGCGGCTTTGAGCGTGCGCATGAAACCAAAGTATGGCCGCGAAGGGCAACGAGGCACGTTGGAGGCCCTACATCAGAAAGATGTCCTGCCATTCTCATCCTGGTCGGCGATTACAAAGAAGCTCGGGTAGGGTCCGTCCGACGGGGGTTTGAGCCAGCCTTTCGAGGTCACGTAAGGGTGTCTCCCTCAAAAACCTAGCGTTTCTTTTTAATCATAAAAGCACAACTCTGCGTCGTCGAGCGCCCAGTTTCCACCCAAGTCTAGCCCCAGCAGGCCGACGAGCAGACTGTCATCCTACTTAAAAGTTATAAGCGACTTTCGGGTGTTTTTCGATGGTAAGATGGTGGCCGACAAAGCCTATGAATATGTGGGGTCAAATGGCTTAATCTACCCAAAAACTGGCCCTCTTTTCTCGTCTAAAGTTTCGAAGAATCGCTTTTAACTTTTGAATAAGGTGGTTGTTACTTCCAAAACTTTGGCATCTGGTCCGGACTGCCGGTGCCACTTTTGGGCGGAAACCAAGCGTTCGGTGACATGCGCTTTGTTTTTGCTCGCAAGCTCCGAACCAAGCGTACGCTTGGTTCGGAGCTTGCGACGGTAGGGGCGTGTGGTTTGGATCTGTCTGTGCGCCTCGACGTTGAGGCCACCCGACTGCCGCAGCTGTGCAGTCGGAGCGGAAGCCCAGCACGGACTCGTCGCTTCGGGCCGAGAAGGGTGCCGGGCTGGTGCTGGCCGCCCTCAGCCTGCCCGGCCCCGGTGGCCCCGTGCAGCGTGGGGGAGCGCACCAGTCCACCGGCCTCATGCTCATGGATCCGCAGGTGAGTCTACCCCTTCGGTCGGTGTTGCCGCGGTACTTGGAGCGTGCCTCTGGCAGGCGCGTTCGCCGTGTCCTCAAATGTGGTTTCTCGATTTCTGCCCGACAACGATGTTGAAGCGTCGCCGGTCGCAGTCCCGGCAGTGGCGTGTGCGACACGGGTGGATATGGCTGGTGCCCGTTTTGCTGCGGGTCGCTTTCTCGCTCAAGAGTTCACGAAAGCTTCTGCTAAAACGAATCGGGATGCCGCAAAGGCGGCGACACTTGCGTACTTAGCTACCCGTACCGCCTACGATACGTCAAAAGTGGTCCCGAAGCGGCAACAAATTAGTACGTTGCACGAGTTGGCCTGTCGTGACGTCGGATGTTGCAATCCTGGCAGTTTGTTGTAAAAGTTCTGGCAAAGAAACACCGACAGTTGTATACAAGTGTTGCCGTCGTGCCAGGGTCCCAATTCCCGGCTGCTGAAGTGTTCGTAAACTGTCGTGCTGCGCAGCAACCCACGGTATGACGGGCATGTATTATCCACCTCCGCTGCCGTGCCACCCCCAGGATTGTGGTGGGTAACAGTGCGACAGAAGTGCGATATCGTCGGGCAGAAATCAAAGGACCATGAATGATGACGCGGTAAAACACGTGGGTCGCAGACACGTTCCGATGCACCGTAGTGTTGCGTGCAGAGTAGGCACCCTTTCTCGTGTCTCCTTGTTGGATTGCGGCAAAAGGATGTCCAGGCATTATGCTTTTGGCGCTAAATCTTTGTTTGAATGGACGTGGGGTAGAACGGCGCCTTTTGAAGTTCTGCACGTGTAGGTGCGTCTTCCAAGAAGCGAAGTGAGTGCAGCGCAGAACAAAGTTTCTTGTCTTAACCAAAAAAAAAAAAAAAAAAATTTTTTTAACAAAAATATAATATTTGGAACGTATACAATGACGACGGGTATGAAATAGGACTTGCATATAGGAATGAAAATTACAAGTTGCGAGAGCAATTTTTTAAAACGTAGTAGTCATAGTTGTCGAGTTTGAAATGTTCCGGCTGCTTTTCCATTTTTCTCTTTTTCCTTATTTTTTTGTACTTTTTGGGTAAATTTAGGAAACAGGTACAGTGAACCCCGTTTCTACTGAAGGGCAGGGGGTGCCACGATTCGTTTGATGTATCGAGTAATTTGATATAGCAGTGACCGTGTACAACAAACTTCCGTTTGTCCCGTTTACTTCATGTCCCTGTCTTTCTTTGCTCTATTTTATACGTTTAACTAAGTTCCGTGATGAGTTCGTTATATTCAGTTCAGTCGTCAAAGTAAACAAAAACTCGCGCTACTCACTGGCTACGAAATAACTTCATTGAAAACAAAAAGCTGTGCACAGTATGCAGTTATCTTAGCTTGAGATTTTGCCTTGCCAGTGTCCACGAGAGTAGCGTTCTCTACTCGAGAAACTGCCCGCACGACTTCAATTCCACTTCCCCCTATGCCAGAGCAGTAGTGGCGAAGCACGTCCACTGCCAAAGGCGCTTTGTAAAGTGTCGGACAAGGGGGCTCTTCGTATTCGGGATCCCGAGCATCCTCGCGGCCGTCACATTGGCAGCGATGTCTTTGTCCGAGGGTACCGCGGCAATGTCATGGTCGATCCCCAAAAAAACGCTGAGCTTGATTCTGTCTGGCGTCGCGTCGGGGAGGTGACCCAGCTCCTCCCAGAGATCAGCAATGTTGTAGTCATTGTTGACTTCTGTCGGAGTCACTGCCTCATCTTTCAGGCCAAGTCCCACCTGACAGAAGCAATTGGAACGGTTGGCCCGCAACTCTCTGCCTACACGCAACTCGGCGAGCAGCTGTCCCACCACACGCTTTTCGTCGAGGGGTTGGAGCACTGCCGTAGCATTGGGCGGCAGAAAACATGACTCGATGTTCTTGAGTGAGACGCCACTGTAATGCGCCGAACAATCATCATTGAAAGTGTATGTCATGAGCAGGGAAGTGTATGTCATTGCACCCTCGTAGACATCTGGGCAAAGTTCACTTCCCGATGACAAGCGCGCAAAGTTTCAACGAGCCGTCTATCCATGTTAGTCATCAGCAGTACAGTGATACTACTCTCGTTCGTCTTGCTGCCGTGGCACTTCTCATTCCGGTGTACTAAGGTCTGGCTTAGAAGAAGTTGCCAAAACAAAGCATTCCCATCCCTGTTGAATAGGTATGTCACGCGATTCGTATTTTGCCATGGTGCCCGGCCAGTTGCCGTCTATCCATTTCTTGACACCTTCACTGTCCGCTGCACACTTCTACCCAGCTACGACTTTTTCTACAATTGAATACCGGTCTTTAAACTTCTGCAGCCACTCCGATCCTTCGTTGAAGCCCCCAATCTTGAGGACGAACGCAAAATCTCTTGCCTTGCTCTGGAACAATAAACCGGAGACTGGACGGTTGCATACACGGATGTCCAAGAACCATTGGTAGAGCACTTTTTCCACCTCGTTGTACGCCGGTTTCCAGATGCATTTATCGTCCGTGTTTGGCCGTTCGTGGGCTTTGTCTTCGATAGCAGCTTTGTTTTTCAGGATTGTACTCAACATACTCCTTGGTATTTTGTAGGCGACAGCTACGTTCGACTTCTCGCCATGCTCGGAAAGCGGAAAGTGGCAGAGCTTGCCGCTGCTTTGTCATTATTATGCAAGATAAACAGCCAGTGTGCACCGCACACAACCAGGCACAACCACACGGTACCGCAAACGGAGAGCATAATGAAGGGAGAGACGGAGGCAGGCAAACACGGGCAAACAGGCCAGCAGGTGGCGACGCGATGACGTGGCAACGGCACCCGACGGAGCTGCAGTGCAATAGGCTCAAGGAGGAGGCGATGCGAAACCTAGGTCAGACGAGTTGTTGCCGAGGGCCAAGCGGCTAATTCACCGCATTCCTCTTGTTCAAACGGAATGCGAAAGAGAAGGAGGGGGTCAAACGTTAGTGGGCCCCCTTGCTCTCGCTCCATCTGCAATGCGAGGAAGCCTAATGTTGCGAGCACCGGTATTCAACACGCTTTTCTCGCGGTCGCCAACGCTAGCAATTCGGTGCATCGAATGCGTAGTTCGTTATGCGAGATACATATTGCGTGCATATTGCATTGCGAGTATTGCGCGTTCGATACGAGCTGTATTTTGCCGTGCAGTAAACTCGTTAGTTCAACCTCGGTTAATTTGACTTTTCGTTTAATTCGATCGTGTTCAAAAGTCCCCGCGAGCGCCCATACATTTCTATGGGATGAAAAGTTTGATAGTTCGAACTCGGGAAAACTCCGCATCGGATAATTCGTCCCCAGCGAATGCGCGCGGGCTCACATTGCACGGCACCATGGCAGAAAGACCACCAACGTACAGCGAAACAGGGGCCCTTTGCTGTGCAAAGCCGAATGTGCGCAAATATGCGCCTGGTCCTCTACACCGTTGAGATGGACCGTAGCGGATGACACGAGCCGGCGCAACCAATCTGGCATGGAGTAGCGTGGAGACAGCGCACGCTCTCAAAGCGCTTTTCTGTATCATCGTGTGTGGTCCATCTTGCGCGCCGGAAAGCGCAAGTTCTCTTTTCTTTTTTTGTGTTATTTTTTCTGTTGCCGACGGTCTGGCCGCCCGGCGCCAAGGTCGGCTCGTAAAGCTTTCTCAGCATGCACTCTCAAGGCACTTTTCTGTAGCATCGTGTGCGGTCCATCTTGCGCATAAAAAAGCGCAAATTCTTTTTTCCTTTTTTTTTTGGGGGTTATTTTTTGTTGCCAACGGTCTGGCTGCCCAACACCAAAGTTGTCTCGTCACCTTTTTTTTTTGTAGTGCACGATTTTTTGGTGACGTGACGTCTAGTTACGCTGCTCTCTGGAGCACGCTTTTGGACATGCGTTTTAAGCGCAGACGGCACCAGTTCATCCGTGAGTACTTTGGACAATAAAAGGAAGTTTAATTTTAACCGTTTTTCTGTCCTTTCTTTAATTCGATCATTCGGATAATTTGACCAAATTTGAAGGTCCTGTCGAGGTTGAATTAACGAAAGTTTACCGTAATCGAGTTTGTTATAATGAGGTTTGACTGTATTCCTTCTCTATTCGAGGTCACTAGACTCATACCCAACCTCTTCCAGTCATTTTTCGGTCCGTTTATTGCGCAGGCTGGACGCTCGCCGCCGCAAAAAAGTTGCAAGTCACGCAGCCGCGTTCTCACGTGACACGGCACTTTGTACGCTCGCAGGAGTCCAAGGGTTTCCTGACGGGGAGCCAGGACAGCACGAATCCTGCCATCCTGGGTTGGACCTCCTGGGACGACGAGGACGGAACGGTCGACGATGACGACGCCCTCTCGAGTGAGCATGCAGGCTCTTTCTAATGCAGGATGTGCTGTGTGGCTGGCTCTTATACGCAGGATGCACTATTTAACTGGCTCTTATACTTTGTTTCGGGCAGACTGCGGTCCGCAGCTGACACTACGATCCGGCGGAGTTGATGAAGCGGTGCCAAAAGTGTATCGTCGCGGTGCTCATTGCTTTTGTCCGTTTGCTATCACAAGTGGATGTGCCTCGATCCTCCTATTTTTTTGGTGCATGGTTGGTTCAGCTGGTGGATATTCAACCTACAAATACGAGGAACGCCGTGACGACGCACTGCTGTCGCCGCTCGATTGGCTCCGTCTGACTGTAGCGTTGGCTGCAGTGGTACTTAAGGTGAAAGGGAGTGTAGCCACTTCCCAGTAACGCACTTCCGCAATTAAAGAGCGTCACGCGAGTGCCGCACCGACATTGGGCCAGAACTGTCGTCCTCGCTGATCGAAGACGAGTCCTGGCGGAACGCCGACGCAACACCCGTGTCCCGCGCGCGCCCATTTTATCTGGGAGGTGTCGAGCGAGAGTGCACCCGCACGCTCGGTGAATGTGTGTGCAGTTCGCGAGGTGGGACCCGAACCCAACTTGGTGTATCACTCCTACCGGAGAGCTAGTGTGGCACAACTTTCTCGTAGACGCCGTGCCCGGACCGTTGAAGAGACCCGAGCCGACACTTCTTGGGAGGCCGGTGCATGGCATGTACAGTGCCCCTCAAACTTAACGCCGCCACTCGGTTACACTCGGTTGCGCAAATATTCATCTATTGCATGCTACCCAAAGATAAATTGGTCGCTGCAGCTGCTCGAATACCTTCCCCTGGTTGGGTTCTCATCGCGAACGCGAATGTTTACCAAGTGGTTCGACCACTAGGTTCAGGAATAGCTCAACAAGTGAATAAACCGGACGATCTAGTGGCGGCGTTAAGTTTGAGGGGCACTGTACATGGTTGGGGCATGGAGTGAGGGTGATCCAAACAGACGTGCCTACCGTAAAATCTCGTAAGGGCGCGCCCACCGAGAATGAAGAGGCAAGTGGCGAAAAAGATGAGATGGTGTCTCTTTTTGGGGATGAGACGGCAAAACTTAATACAACATTAATGTTGAACACAGGGGTAGCCGCTACAAACCATGTGACATGGGAACTACTGTATTTACTGACGTAATGAACACATTTTTTTCCCGAAAAATTGACACATATTCGGGGGCAAATTACACGGAGTAAAATTTTTGCATTTACACACTTCGTGCAAATGTCATATCAGGTGCCAATATGACACGGCAAGGTGTACTGTGGCATGTCTCCACTGATGGAGGCGCACCCACGGCTGGTCAGAGGCGCGCCACTGTAACCATGCTCTAAAAATTGCAAACCTTTTTCAAGGCGCTTTCGGTATGCCTTTTGCTGAAGCAAAAGCGCCCTACAAAGCTCACTCAGCACAGAAAGCAACGCGACCGTGCTTAGGTGATACATATTGCGGGTATCCGGCCGCGCTCAGCTATATACCGCGACTATGCATATGAGAACTCGCAAAAAGTCCGACCACCGAGGCCCGCTCGCATGAAGCAAGTTTCGTTCACGGAAACTGCTGTTACCAGGGGTACCGGACGCTCTTAACCTTCGATGCAGCGTGCACCTCGGTGCGCCGTTCTGTTACAGACTAAATAGACGCATTTACCCGGAGTATATGAAATTAGTAGGGATGCGAATAGTGAATTTTCACTTCGAAGCGAATACGAAGTGAATAATTAATTTCAACGAATAGTTTCGAATCGAAGCGAATAATTTCGAAGCGAAGCGAATAATTTACATTTGCTAATTTAAAAGTGAGACAATTTACAAAATAGAACTTGAATAATTTGCACATTGATATGGCTTAGCTATCCGTGTCATCTTCAACATGTTTTCTAGGCTACCATTTAGATTTTATTTTAGATTTATTTAGATTTTTATAATTTACATCTGCCCATTTATATTTCCGGCCCTCGAGACAGCCTCCATCCGGCCCCTTAGCCAAAAAGTTTGGAGACCCCTGGCTTAGAGCATCGCGATTTCGACTTTTGAATGACATTTCAAAACCGTGTCAGACTTAATTCCAAGAAAACAATTACGGTATTCGAGAGGTATCATAACTCTCAAAATGAGGATATTTTCCAAATTGGAGAAACTATCGGTATCACCATCAATATTTTCTACGCAGGGCAGCTCAGTAACGGTAGCAGCGGCATACGCGTTAGGTGTGCAGCATGTGGGAAATTAGTTTAAGTGTACTCAGAGGCAAGAGGACAAAAATAAGTCAGGCTCTGGCAATCGTAGCACACGGTCACACAGTTTCTGACGGGAATGTCATCTTTTGCGGCTCTCAAGAACACAGTTGAAGCTAAAACGAAACTAGTTCCCTCCGTCATCTTCGCTCGCTTGGTGGCTCGCCGGCTAGCCGGGATTGTTTTAGCGGCAGCTCGGACGCCTAAACCTATTCCTTCCTGGAATGTTTGCTGCCACGATTCTTTCTGGGCGCCTCCCCCTGCACTCGGAAACAGTAAGTGCCTCGCAAACGTGGTCGGCGGCTGCAGTCCCGTAAATAGGTGCCATTTTACCTCCGTTGGGGAAGTCCGTTCAGTTGAACTGAGGTTTGATTAGCGGCTCGATGAAAGTTGGAGCCGCCGTTTAACTCTGGCCGATTGCGATTGAGTCAACTATCGTTGACTCAACGGCAGTCGAGAGCGCTCGTGTAACTAGGGTACCTCTTTTGAATAAGGTTATGGTTTGCACCGTGTTCAAACTTCGAAATACTTCAAAAATATTCGAAGTTTCCGAATAGTACTATTCGCTTCGAAGTCCGAATCGAATATGGCATTATTCGCTTCAATATTCGAAGCTTTCGAATATTCGCACAACCCTAGAAATTAGGCCTAACCACTTTCACAATTTCACTGTCTGAAAGCAGACCACAGACGACGGCGTGTTTGTTGACATCAATGCATCGGATAGGCAAATAATGTCCGGGGCTGGGGGATACCTCGACCCAGGCATCGTCAAGTGTCGGCGCCACTCGCTTTCACGGTTCATCACTTGCACAACTATGCACTTGCAGCCATTACGAGAGCGGCTTGGCTTGGCTTGACTTGGCCTGACTGCTTGGCGGCAAAGGAAAATTGACTTAGTGGATAGCTAAGTTGGATGCAGTTTGAGACTTGCAGAGCCGAAAATTGGAGGTGCATTCATTACGCGAGGGAAAAAAAGAAGTCAAAATATTGGTACTATGGCGCACCGTGCATTCACGAGGGCGCACTTCAAACCTCTCTGGCATCGTTGCCGCGATGCGGCTATGCAGTTGCCTCGCCTCGGACATGATCACATGGTCGTGTCGCCGCAGGGTCGATCGGGATCTCGAATTCGGCTCCCGACGTGCCGCTTTCTCTCCTAGCTACTGTACGGCGCTGCAGGCACCCCACGGCTTGCGAATATAAACCTCCTCGCCCATCGATCGAGATATACACAAACTCATCTCTGTTACGTCACGGCGCGGTGGTGGCGCGTCGGTCGCACTTTTGGTCTGGGGCTGTGGGCAGAAGTCCCCATGCCAGACGTGTATTCCTGCGTTGTTTTGAAAGGAACCTGACAAAAACCTGCCTTCTCGTCAAAACGCCGCGACTGGGACTGTACTAAAAGAGTCTAGAAAGGTTTGAAGGCCAGTTTTCATGTGTTCGGTTCGTCCGAGAAGGTAAATATGTGTTGTGAAAAGGGAAAACCAGACGCCGTCGGACCACGATTGCTTGGGTGGGAAGCACTTTGGATTGAATTCACGGATACTTCTGGTTATCAGATTTATTTGTTTTGTTCTAACATAAACGGCGAAAAACTGCAAAGTTGTACGGACCACCTGCGGACTACGTTCAGTGCGTCTTCAAGTTCAAAAGGGCCGCTTGACTGTTCGAACTGTCGTCTGCTCTTTCAAATGTTTCTGCTTGTCGTCTGCTCTTTTAGACGACACCGGCCCGTAGACCAAACGTGGGCCCGGTACTAACGATAAGAAGTAAGTGCAGGCCTCAAAAGACCTAAGATTGAAGGTTGGTAAGCAGGCTCGATGTAAACAGTAGATAAAAGGATGTATTGATAATTGTTACCAGTGGCCATCACCGACTTGTTATGCCTGATTCACTTGGTCCGATTCTGCTTGAGATTTTCAGTATCAACGTCGACCATCTCAGCTACGGTTCACGCTTTTACAGCCCGAGCGTCGTCGCGACTGAAAATTGCGAGCGAAATCTCATCCTGCGAATCAGGCTTTAGCGTACATTCTGCGGCGTCCACGCGGAATGAATCGCCACGTCACATTATTCACGCGAAGTTTTGCGGTGTGACGAGCCTCAATAATTTCGCTGACGCCGCTGAAGTAGTCAGATATCGCCAGGAAGATGTAGAATCAACAATTCGAATGCGAAAAAGGGCAGGGGGACTCAGACCGACGCCGACAACATCGCATTTCAATGGTTTGGTTATGGGCGACGGCGAGCTTCTTGCCCACACCCCCATCGCGCATGCGCGGCGCCGGTGATGTCCGCTAGGGGCGCTCCGGTTTGTTTGTAAACATGAGTAGGTGTATAGTCGGGGAAATGGGGGCAAAAGTCTCTTAGGACTCCGGGCGGGCTCTGGGACAGCCAAGTGCGTGCGACGGGATTTGGGGTAAATGCGGGACACGAGGCCTGGGGGCCCTTTTTGTGTTTAGCTTTGGCTTTATGCGTATGTGAATATTTGTGTAATGTCGTGTGTATTTGTAGTTTAGATTGAGTGTCTTGAGCGTTGTGTTTTATGTGTCATTAAAAGGGGAGTGGAATCCCGCTGTTGTGAAAGAACCGGGCTGGACTTGGGTTGTTGACGGACCACGTGGGAAATGGCGAATCGGCGGCAGTATGCGACTTCCTACAGTACCCATTGTGGGGGTGCAATCATTATGCGAGTGCTTTTATTATGGGAGTTAATACGGTAATACAGCATATCGCGGATGCTGTACATTTGCGTTTTGCTACGCGATAAATGCGCGAAAATTTGCTACAAACTCCCGTGTGACAGAAGAAGATACTGGAGATTGTGGATGCAGTTGAGTCGTGTTTCACAGTATGATGAACACGCGGAAGCCGACTACAAACTTGCGTACCATGAAAACCGATAGCGTGCGCAGATTGTGAACAAAAAATGCGAAAACTCGTTACGATCTCAAGCCACGGGAACCGATATTGAGCGCGCAAAACGTGGACAAAATTGCAAAAGTCGCTGCTAACTCGCTCGTACCGGTACTGCAGACCGCGCGCATAATTTAACACGACGTGACATCGCATTCGGGCCTAGGCCTATTTGTACAGGCGGCCGTCCGGGCCAGGATACAAAAATTGCTTAGGCTCGGGGCGAGCAATTTCTGCAGACAGTTTTAAAGCATTTCCCGCTTTAAAACTCTGTGCGGACACGTTGGAAGCATACATATACGTGAAGCAAACCTGCTTCGAACATACTCGAGGCATGTCCACAAATAACTTTGTCATCGGCGTCTGCAGCGAACGTCCTTTGTTAGATGTGCGAGCGGTGCGGGTGCAGCTTTAGCAAACCGGGTGCGAACTGGTGCCGTTGTTCTCCTGCTCCAGGATCCCGGCTGAGCCCTCCCCCGTCCAACTCGTGGGGCCCCCTGGTGTCGGAGGAGCTGGTCCCCTTCCAGCTGACCCTCCCCGAGAGTCCCCCCGGCGGAGCCCTCAACGTGCACTACGTGTGCGAGAGCGCCTCCCGGCTACTCTTCCGCTCCCTCCACTGGGCACGCTCCCTGCCGGCCTTCGAGGAGCTGCCGTGAGTAGGCGCACCCCGCCCTGCCCCGTCGTACGAGGTGTGGTAGCTCCGGCGTAAAAACGCGGACGCTTAAACGGCTCCGACCATGAAGCGCCTGCCTACGGATCTCTGGGTGGCAGTTTCGAATTCTGGTCGAGGTGCCTTTGATCCGTCGGAAGCCTTGCGGAGGGCAAGTCGTCTGCTTCTTGCACAGGAATTGCGGCGATGTCAGAAAGATGCCGAGCTCCGATTGAAGGATGGTGGGCAGACCTCGAAGCAAGCTGCCTTGAGGTCTACCCATTATTCTTCATTCAGAGCCAATCGGAGCTCGGCGTCTTTCTGACGTCGCCACAACCCCCGCAAAAGAAGGACGAACTTGCGGAGGCGCCGTTTTCGGTTGCACGTCGAGAGTCACCCCCCCCCCCTTGTCATCTGAACGAATCCTCAGCCCTCCGCTGGGGCGTACCGACGCCCTTCAATAATTTGGCGCGTAAAACCCCCATGGCCGAGCATGCGCACCACGGCTCGGAGTGTGTCGAGCGAAAGCTCGTGCGGCGGGACCCAGCGATCCTGGGTACAGTCCCCACCTTGCCCGTCTTAGTTTTCGCGAGCATAATACTGGCCCGAGGTTGTAAGTATCGCCGTTGCGTGACACACTTTAAGGACCCCAGCCTAGCGGTGGCACTGCACCGGCCGAATTTCTCACCCACGGCCGAGACACGAGACATCCCACGGGGCATACTACCTTCCCCTCGCCGTACACGCACCACTGGCTGTGGTGTTATTGTACGTTGAAAGGAAAATGTGAAGAGAGGCCCCTACCCCTCTGCTTGCCGTGATCTGGATGCCCAGAGCTGGTTTCCTCCCCAGCATTCGCTGTGGTAAAATGGAAAGAGTGGAGGACTTCAAGGAGCTTGTCATGCTATTCGGGACCCACAACAGACTCTAATACACTCAGCCTCTGAACCCTCAACTTTGGGAGTTGCATTGTTGAAAAGCTTGTTCCCCTCTGCTACAGAAGACATGCAAAATTTACTGTCTCTTTGGGAGATTCCAAACGCATTCTAAATGCCATGCATTTAGAATGCCTTGGCTCACTCCCGCACACATTACAGGTCCCACCGAGCGGATTGTCCGTAAGCTGGTGCTTGGGACCGTCGGTCACCTCCTGCATAGTGGCAGCTGTTGTCCCGTGGCTGGTGTTCCCTTCCCCCCGCTCATGCTTTGCAGCAGCGTCTCTCACTCCTCTCTCTTCACCTAGGTTCACCCACTGTTTGCATAGTGTACAGTGCTCGTCAAACTTATACGGAACACTTGTGGAATATTGAATGCAGAAAAAAAAAAATGAGAGAACTGTGCATATTAATCTGAACTGAAGGTATGCTACGGACATAGTGGGACACAAAGAGAAATAGCCTAGGGCTAGCGCCAGCTATGCACGCAGACGGAGAATAAAACAAAATGGAACAAGCCAAGAGTAGGCTTAGCATGTGTTCCAGATAAGTTTGCTGAGCACTGTACATTGCTGCCTCTGAGCACACGCCGAGGAGAGTCCCCGTTCCGAGAGCAGTTGCCGTTTGCACGCCAAGCGTGCACTTGGCCACCACACCTCGCGCGTTTGAAACGTGCAGAGGTCCAGCAGGTTCCCTTCTGGCCGCACGCAGGATGTCCCTGCAGCTGACGCTGGTGCGTTCGGCCTGGAGCGAGCTGTTCACCCTGGGGCTGGCGCAGTGTGCGGAACAGCTTTCCCTGCCCGCCCTGCTGTCCGCCCTGGCCTCCCATCTGCGCACGGCGTCCCCCAAGAACGGCGGCTCAGGGACGTCCCAGCGCGGCCTGGTGGCGGAGCACGTGGCCACTCTGCAGCGGCTGGTCGGGGCGCTGCAGCGGCTACGCCTGGACGACCGAGAGTACGCCCTGCTCAGGGTCATGGTGCTCTTCTGCCCAGGTGAGAGGTTGGACGGAATGAGTCCACTGCGTTTTTGACCCCTAGGGCGCGTCTCCGACCGTCGTGCTGTAGTGCACTCTGAAAAATATTAATATCGCAGTTTTCTTCTCAATGCAAATATTGAATAATTTTTTATTCAAATTTTCGCGCAACACTAAATAATTTCAATTCCAAAGAGATACAAGGCTGGAAGATAAGTTTTTTTGTCACCACTCAATGTATACAATAACTCAACTCGGTGGCGCATCCGTCGCACCTCCGGTCTGGGGCTATGGTCAGAAGTCCCCATGCCAGACGTGTATTCCTGCATTCTTTTGAAAGGAACCAGACAAAAATCTGCCTTCTCGTCAAAACGCCGGGACTGGGGCCGTACCAAAAGAGTCGAGAAAGGTTTGAAGGTCGGTTTTCACATGCTTGGTTCGTCCGAGAATCTGGATATGTGCCGTGAAAAGGTAAAAGCAGACGCCGCCGGACAACGATTGCTTGGGCGGGAAGCACTTTGGGTTGAATTCACGGATACTTGTGGTCATCAGATTTATTTGTTTTGTTCCAACATGAACGCCAGAAAACCATCAAGTTGTCCGACCACCTGCAGACTATGTTCAGTGCGTCTTCAAGTTCAAACGGTCGCCTGATCGTTCGAACTAGCCGTCTGCTCTTTCAAACGTTTCTGCTTGTCGTCTGCTGTGTTAGACGACGCCGGCCCGTAGACCAAATGTTGGCCCGGTACTTGTTATAAGAAGTAAGGGCAGGCCTCAAAAGACCTAAGTTTGAAGGTTGGTAAGCAGGCTCGATGTAAACAGTAGATACAAAAAGATGTTGATTATTGTTGCCAGTGACCATCACCGACTTGTTATCCCTAATTCACTTGGTCCGATTCTAGTTGTGATTTTCCGTATCGACGTTGACTATCTCAGCTACGGTTCACGCTTTTGCAGCCCGAGTGGCGTCGCGACTGAAAATTGCGAGCGAAATCGCATCATGCGAATCAGGCTTTAGCGTACATACTGCGGCGTCCACGCGGAATGAATCGGCACATGTCACATTATTCACGCAAAGTTTTGCGGTGGAACGAGCCTCGGTAATTTCGCTGACGCCGCTCAAGTAGTCAGACATCGCCAGGAAGATGTAGAATCAACAATTCGAGTGCGAAAAAGGGCAGGGGGACACTTCTCCGACGTCGACAACATCGCATTTCAATGGTTTGTTTATGGGCGACGGCGAGCTTCTTGCCCACAACCCCCATCGCGCATGCACAGCGCCGGTGGCGTCCGCTAGGGGCACTCCGGATTGTTTGTAAACATGAGTTGGTGTATAGAAATAGCAATGAAGAACCAAACCCCTTTATGGTTAACTTATCTGGACATCAAGGGAGCATATGATAATGTGAGCCAGGAAAACTTCTGGGGTTAGCTGAAGGATTATATCTAGGGTTCAGAGTTTTCGGTTTAAACCGTTAAAAGTATGCCGAATCCATTTTCGCAAATTCAGTGTTAACCGCAAAAGGTCAGTTTTTAGGTTTGGCGTTTTCGGTTTAAAGCAATAAAAGTCAGCCAAATTCATTCTCTGAAATACTGTTTTAACCTAATATGGCCAGCTTTTTAGGGTCGTGTCGAGATGGGTGGGGGGGGGGGGGGGGGGGGATGGGGGGAGAGAGGGCTTTGCAAGGTTTGACATTGTGTGACGTCTTTGTGATTGCCCTCTCCCAAGGTTCAACATGCAACAAAAGAGATCTTGGACTGGCCTTCACGGGACATCTGTGTCCTTTCTGTGATCGGGCTTAATGTGTCAAATTCCTGGTCCTAAAAAAAAGAAGTTTGGGTGTTGGCTAGTTGAAAGTTTTTAGCTTCATGCAAGATCTGCAGCCAGAGTTTAGGGAGTGCATGAAATATGTTGTGCTTCAAAACGGTTGCGCCATGTCTCTTTTGGTGGTCACATTTGGTTGATTGGCCGATTTTGGATCAGGCAGCGCTTCATCTCCTCAGCGTACCAGTGTCCAGTGTTAATGTTGAAAGGGTATTCTCGAAGACCAGGGTCATTAACAGGAAAGAAGAACCTGGGAAAGTACATGTGTGTTTACATAATAAGATCACATAATCCTGATGTACAGAAGGTGAAGTTCCATGTTTTTGGGCACTGACTTATTCGTACTTCTGCATTTTTTTTTTCTTGTTTTTTTTTAGTTGTACACATTTGCCAAATAAAGTGTCAATGTTCTTTTTTTTTTTTTTTTTCATGTATCTGTGTCGTTATTCTTTGAGGGATTACAAGTATCAATGTTTCAAGGATCATCTGATCCGGTGTCCGATGGTGTTTCTTTCATATTCAACGAAAAATACTGGTAAACTTTTGTGGACATAAATATACACCGAAAGAAACAGAAAATTGAATCTTAAAATAAACACAGAAAAAAGTGCTTTGAATTTTGAAAAAATAAAAACCGAAAATGCGGAACCTTAAATATAACTTAGATGCAAACTTGGTTGGGTTTCTTCAGCAGGTGTACACAGACAATACGGTAGTGATAACATGGGAAGCAGAAACTACACAACCCGCAGCAATAAAAAGAGGATTCAGGCAGGGCTGTCCACTGTCACCTCTGCTCTTCGTGATATATTTCAGTGAAGTGGAAAAGAAATTGGAGCAGAGCAACTTAGGTTTTGATGCGAGTTATATGGAAGGAGGGGAGAAATGTATTGCAAGTAATACCAGGACCGAAGTATGCGGATGACACAGTACTCATGGCAGAAAACCGGGATACATTACAAGAACTAGCTGGAATATGTGGAGAGGAAGGGGACACATTGGGCATGAGCTTTAGTTGCGACATGTCTGCAGTAATGGTGTTTAACGACGAAAAGAGGGAACCCCTGAGGATACAAGACATTGAAATAGACCAAGTAGGGAAATACAAATATCTGGGAGTCTGGCTCAATGAGGGAAGGAAATATCTAGAGGAAGACGAGGAGAATATAATCAGAAAAGGGAAAAGAAATTCATCTATTATGAAGCTCAAGGCATTATGGAACTATAATCGATATGAAGTGGACAGAGGTATATGGAAAAGAGTGATGGTATCAGGACTCTCTTTTGGCAATGCAGCACTGTGCATGAAATCAGATATTCAGTCAGGATTAGAAATTCGGCAAAGAAGCGTAGGCAGATTGGCACTGGGAGAAAATGGAAAGACACCAAATGAGGGTGTACAGAGGGACATGGGCTGGTCGTCTTTTGAGAGTAGGGAGGCAATTAGTGAGCTGAAATTTGAACAAAGGTTGACTGAAATGGATGACACGCGGTGGGCACGGAAGGTGTACAAGTATTTATACGTGAAAAGTTTAAACACGAATGGACAAACCGAACCCGAAAGCTTACATTTAAATACCTACTCACTAGTGAAGAGGCTGAGCAGACTACGTCAGTGGAGAAGGGAGTGAAGGAGGCAGAAAGGAAAATGAAGAATGTGGGAGCAATCGGCTCTAACAATGTCCAGGTCACAAAAACAGGACATAAGGAAGGAAAATGCATTTGACAATTCAGTGGGAAGTTCTTTACTGTTCGAGGCCAGAATGGGAGTTTTGAGGACGAGGACGTATAGGGCCGATTTTCAGGAGACTGACACATTGTGTGCCGCCATGAGAGCGAGACACTAGATCACTTCGTTTTGAGGCGCACGGGACTTTGCTCTGCCCTCCCTGAAAGGAATACAAATTTGTTCGGAGCTTTTGTTTTTGCGGGCGACGATAGAAGGGGATCACAGTAACAAAGAGGCGGTTAGAAGGTAGGTCAAAATTATCTAGGAAAAATTGAATGATGCACAACTGACTAGCACAGCTGGGGACAGGCGGGACAGAGAAAAATTGGGACTCCCTCCTGCGTGGCTCCGGCCCAAAGTCTCAACCCTGTCCCCCAGTGGGTCCGGTGCTGGGGTAACACCGACAAGGTTTGACCAGAGGAAGATTGGCGACTCCCTCGCCGGGGGGAAGAGGCAGGGGGTGATGTTTATAGTTTTTTTTTTTTGACCGATCCCCCAAAGGTCATCCTGGCGATGTCCCACATTGCCTGGTGAAGTTAGGAGGAAAAAATTGGTCTTAGAAGGGGGAGAGGGGGAGGAATCATATGTTTGTCTTTTCAGACTAGGTTAGGTGGCGCGAGCTACCGCCCGTTACAAAGGGTATAGCCATTCAAATTTATCGATCCATCCATCCATCCATTTCAATTTCTAGGAACGGAGACACTGGGCCCATTCCAACTCCTGAAATGGCTAAACGGTTCCTTTTTGTTCTTTTAATTTCTAAACTCGAAAAATGGCAAATGCAATGTAAAGCTGACATTGTCAAATGCATAGACGTCTGCAAAAATATGCAAGGCGCATTCCTTAAGCACTGACTTTACTAAGCTGAGCAGTGGTCACACAAAACACTTGGTGCGCCTGGTGGCACCGCAGACATCAGTCGCGCAGTCAAGCGAAAAAAGCTCTCAGCATATGGCAAAAATTAAAAACGCCCCTTCTCTTCATGAACGGTAGTTTGCATGCCCTCCTGTTATAGGAGATACATGGCCAGCTTGTTTATTAACAAGACCTTAGAAATGTCTAGTTCGTGCGTGGCCCAAAGTGGAGCAATCTTGCTGTCTGCTTCAGGTACCTGTACAATAGCACCGCTGTACACTATTCGAAGAAACGTCACTTATACCTGCTCCAAGCCTTTGTACACTGACAAGAACAGAAAACCGCCAACAAAGTGCAATTGCTACGGTGCCAGCTCTAATGCTGTAACTGTGCATGGTCACAGCAGTCGCCTTGTCGCATCTTGCAGGTCTTAGCTGAAAATCGATGCAGGTCGCATAAGAACTGATCTTTTTCGTTCCCACTTCATTCTGGGCGAAAGGTATCTTATTTTATTCCCGTTTTATTCCTTCCGTCCCTGTTGCCATTCCATTTGTAGGTTGCAGAAGTAGGGAATGATTTCAGAATCATTCCCACTTTGAAGTAGTTACATCGCTACGCAGTACTATGACTCTCTATAGTAAAGATGTGTCAATACCGTAGCCGAGCAAAGTTGTTCTCTTACTAAGTAGCAATGCAGTGATGAGTGCGACCATGTTGTGCAGACCGGCCGGGGGTGGAGCGCAGCTGGTGCGGCCGGCTGGAGCAGCTCCAGGAGCGGGCGTGCCAGGAGCTGAGAGCCCGCTCGGGGCCGGACTGGGAGCAGCGGCTGCCCCGGCTGCTGCTGCGGCTGTCGGCGGTGCGCTCCCTGCGGCCGGCCCTCACCGAGGAGCTCTTCTTTGCGGGCCTCATCGGCAGCGTGCGCATCGACAGCATCCTGCCCTACATCCTGCGCATGGAGCCCCACCAGATGGAGCCCGGTGAGCGCTCCGGAGAGGTCCCATTTAACGCAGGTAGCAGCTCGAACCACGGGGAGGCGTGTGCAATTTAATGCGGATGCCCGTAGCGCAGATTGGTTGCACGCGCGCGCGCACATGTTGCCGCGTGCCGAGGAGAACAGCAGGTGGGGGGGGGGGGCAATCAAACAAAATTTGGCGGTTTTGCACGGCAAACCAACAAGGGACATCTGGCGGCCCCGGCAAAGGACCGAGGATTCAATTCGATCCCTCGGGGATCTTTGGACATGTGACCGAAATCTCTGTTACTTTGTGCCTTCTCGGCAATGGGCCTCCGTCTGGATTGCGAGCACCTTGGACGAGGTTCGAACCCACCACCTGGGGCTTGCGGCTTCAGAGCCATTGAGGTGGCTGGCAGAGATGCCTAGCAAAGGTTGGAGACTCTCGCAAATGAACGGCACTTTCACCCGCTTGTATCGCAAGTTCGGCCCATTAACCACGTCGTCCCAATCGAGCAGTTGGAAGCATTCTGAAATTGAGGCATACCATCTGGGTCGGAGTTGTGAGTGAGAGCTGATACGGCCGTGTTTCGGAGTAGTTGAAATTGCACGTGCGAGTAAGCCTGCAACGCAGGCGGCCATCTCGCAGAAGCACTGGGTTTGAACCTCGCCTGCCTAGCTTTTTTTTTTTTTACCGGCTGTTGGCCTTTTTGTAAATTTCCAGCTCGTTCTCGATAGTTACCATGCGTTCTGGCTTAGAAATTCCTTGAACATAGAGCTTGCATAAAAGCAATCGCAGCACGCAGCGTCAAACTTTTTTACCGTCGACGCAGGACGCGTGGCGTATCTTTTATTTTAGTTTGTGGGCAAAGCGCTGCACCGGGTGGCCCGCACGCCAGATCATCTATGACCAATCGCACCGTGAGGGGTCCAAGTGCCATTGGCCACGCAAGCGGCACTCCGCTGCCGATAACAGACCATCGCTGCGTACGTGCAACGGCTCTCCTGTTGAACCAGCGTGCTGTGTCATTCTCTAAGACGGGTGGCAGCGAGGGAATTCCCGCAAGTTGTAGGCACAAGTTAGCCACATTGAACCTTTAGCCTCCCCAATTACACCTGCCTCGTTGCCAGTCATTCGTTGCAGGTGCAGGCCTCGGGAAACGAACGGCGGTGTGGTGTAGCAGAACGAACGGAAAGAGAAAATGTTGGTCAGGCAAACTTTGAACCCGGAGCCACAATGTTACGACCGTGGAAACATTCCGACGTACAGACCAAATTTTCGGGGATAGATCCGTCCTACAATTCTGCCTCGTTAATATACCGTAAGGCACCAAGCAGGCAACCAGGCAGAAGTTTGAGATAGTCACGACAAAATGAGGGATGGGCACTCATTAGCTGTGAGAGCAGAAAAGCAAAAGGGCACATGATAAAAAAGGCCCATGTTTGATCCGACAGAACGGAATAGGAGCAGTACAGAAAGGGGACTGGCCAGATGACCTTAAAGGGACCATGAAATGACCTTTTTACTTTTTCCAGGTAACTTTTACATTAAACCGTCAATGTTCACTGAATGCCGAACAGGCATCCGTTTTCGTCTCGGTTTATTAACTTTTACACAAAAAATATTGAAATATTGACTTTTTCATTCTCTCCAACTGACCGCAAAAGAAGCCGTGACGTAGGCCGTTTCCGGAACCGGAAGTTCTCTCGGCAGTAGGAGAATGGGAGTGTTAGCGGCAACGAGTTGGGGTGCGCCGGTAGGTTTTGCTGCGCTGATGTCACAGACGTATTTCCTGAATCGGCGCCTCTCATCGCCGCATCGCAGCTGAGCGAAATTCAATGAGATATGTTGCGCTACAGCGACAGCATGGGACTAGTCCCATACGCCGGTATGCCTGTTCGGAAGTGCAGCGAGTCTTCCGGTGAAGACTCCAGAAGTCAACCACCCCGTCATTGTTGGCAGAAAGGCCGGCCCGTGTCAGTCGTTTGCAAAGCGACGTAGATGGCGTTTTTCGCGGCCTCGGAAATGCAGGAGCGAGCCGACGTTAAAAAAGATACGTTTGAACTACGAGTTTCAGCAAAAGCCACGTAAATACCTGTTTACACTCGGAGCGGACGCGCGCGCTTGATGGAAGTCTTGTATTCGCGCTGTTTGTAAGCGCTTCGGGACCGTTCTTTTACGATTGCAACTCGATACTGACGCGACACTCGGCAAAGAAAGGTTGGACCGGGGTTGTATGTATACCTCCCACGAACTGTTATAGCTCGACAGTGACGTGCAGTCTGTCAGAATAAAAATGGCATACCAATAACAAAGTGTACATACCGTGTTACGAAGGTAATCCATATGGCGTTTATTTCAGCTCTATATCACACAAAACAAGAAGATAGAATCGACGAGAGTCCCTTTTCGACGAGTGTTCGTCAACACTGCCTCGGAAAACAAGGGGAAGAGATTGACCTCACTTCTTAATCTAGAATTGAGGTCAGTGATCAAACTATAATACTGGAAGGGTCCACAAGGGTCGCGCGGGCATATTCCATTTAGCACGCCAGCCGATCGTAGGCAGACGGTCTTGCAACGAAGCAACGCAGCGCCGAGTCGGAATGCCTGCTAGGCCTATACGCTTCGTCGGAGTCGGTGGATCCAGCGTTCTTGTTCGTCGTGGTCTGTTTTAAGTGCTGTTTTCTTGCTGCTTGAAGTCGGCACGCGCGGGAAGAACACGTAGAAAAATAAACGTTCAGTCAGTCAGAGTTTTGAGAGGAAGGAAAACAAAGAAAATAAACGTTCGTCGGCCGCCGCCACCCAAGTAACTGTCGGCCCTGCCCTACTGCGCACGCGCAGTAGTTGCTTCGTTTACCACACGATAGATGGCGCCTGGCTCTCAGCATTATCAAATTTGGCAATTTTCGCCACACATCTCTAATTATGCTACAAAAAGTGGATCTGAATATTATTTAACAAAACTTTGAGGAAACATTCGCCGGCTATTTATTGTTTACGATCGCGGTGCTGGTGAGGTAGGCTCTTACCCAATAGGCGACCTGGATTTGGCTGACGTGCTCCATTTCCGCGGATGCATCGTAGTGAACAGGCGAAGGAAGGAAGGCGCAAAAGAGTCCAGTTTTCTTTTAAAAGTTCTATAGCAAATAATTTTTTTTGGCTCCCTATTTTTGTGTTTTTGTGTTTCTTTTCACACCTTTTACGACGTGCGGTGGATGAAACTCGATTTTAAAATCATTTCATGGTCCCTTTAATTTTTAAAATGGGCGCGTTGCTCTCGTCAGGCTCGCTTTGCCTCGGCATTGTCACGTCAAGCTTTACCGCTTTGCACCTGTTTCTCAGAGAAGCATCTGACGTGGAGGAGCACCTCAGTCAGCTCGGTAGGCTTAGAAGTTTGCTGGGGTGGGCGCCTGATGCGTCCTTTGCCTGCGTCTCGGATATTTGAAAAGTGTGGGGTAGCCACTTTTTATGACGTGGGCACACGCTTGGTATTTTAGGGTACAAGTCCACAGTCCAGACTACAGACAGTAGTTTGGAAACGAACTGGGTACAGCCGTGTCTCAGTGATGTTAACACTTCCATCCCCTCAAAAAAGTCCTGCATGGTGCGAGTCGTTCATAGAAACGAGATGAAAGGCATGTGCCATATTTGCTCGAATACAGGTCGACCACAAATGAAGGTCGATGCCTTCATATTACACGCGCCGAGAATAAAATAAATAATTCGAATATAGCTCGACCTGTTTTTACAGCGAAGCTGTTTATGGCTAGGTTCTGGCAGATCGTCTCCGGGGTCAGACCGAGCGTAGACCAACAATTTTGTACAGTTAATGCTGCAGACGCCGGTGCCACGCGCACATGCCTTGACCGTATAAAAAATTTGAAGGAAATAACCAAACTAAAGCATTGACGAACACGTGTGCAAATGCCATTTGTTTTAGGCTTTTGCTTTAGAGCAGTTAATGCTGCAGACGCCAGTGCCGCACACGTGCGCCTTCCCTACGCACAGCGTCTCTCTCCCCGACATTATGCAATGTTGCGTGCTCTTTGGCGGCCACCTGCCGAAGATCGCGCCACCGTCCTTATCGGTTGGACTTCAGACTTCACATGGGTCATACCCGTGTTGTACGCTCCGAAGCCAAACAGCCCAAAAGTGAGAATCGGCACGCCGCCAACGTGAAACTGCCATTCCGCTGCTCCCAGCCCGACATAACAAATCAGCGCCAGCTTTGCTAGACTTTCCTCTTCACAAGGTGCAAGGGATCTCAATATTTTTTTTAAAAAACGGAGGAAAGTTTGGGCGAAAGAAACAAATTTTGATTTACACCGCTCTCACCTATATCACAGCTCGTTGCCCAAAACTTAATCATCGTTAGAACTTCTAGACATTTCATCTTTGCCGGAAGCCTGGTCAGCTTCGTCGACATGCTCGCAACACCTCACATATACCGTTGCAAAATGGCGACAAGAAGAAACAAAAGAAGGTGGAGACAGGCATAGTAACAAAAGACTAAATACAGAGATGCGAGCAATGCCACGAGTTTGTTTTGCTGCGCATCCTCAAGGGGGGGGGGATAGGGGTCAAGGTGCGTCGCTAAGCGCGGTGCTTCATGGCGCATGCCCCTCCCTCCCCTTTACCCCCCCTTGCATCCGTCGGGCCCTCGGAGCGATCCGGTGGGTTGACTCCTAACATTGGCAGCCTGCCTTCGGCGCTTTAGTTTGTCCCTAAAGAACACTTGCCCATAGCGACAGGAAAAGGTTCCCGACCAGTAACCTAAGGACCGTGGCATTTTCTTGAGGGGCTCTGACCTGGACGGTGGTTGCTCCCTGCAGGTGCATTGCAAGAGGCAGCCAGCTGAGGAGGAACTTCTGCCGGGCACGTTCCAGTTGGCCACAGGTGCCTTTGCGAGCTTTAATGTGGGGGAGGGCTGTCGTCGCCCCCCACCACGCCGAGAGCACTACATTATTTTTTCTTTTAAATAAAAGGAAACAGTCGCTTGTCATTGTCTTTCTCCGTCGGTCTCAGGCCTGTTCACACGTACACCAGAGCGCCAACTAATCGCTATAGACGAAGCACTCACTTTGTGCTCTGTCAGTGCTGCATCGGCACTCCGATCCAGGGGATCACACCATTTCTTGCCTGTGCACACGACACAGCATGAACTCTGTGCTCAGTCGGTGATGAAAGCAGTTCCGATGCAGCACCGAGTGTTCTCCAGAAAACGATGTTGTGCCAAGTAGAGGGCCTAAGGTGGATTTAAGATTATATTGGGTGTTTGAAAGAAAGGGTTGCCAAGTTTTTTACCACAAAAATAAACCATGTGTCACCGAATGCTCGGGCTCTGCCTTAATGTAGTGCTAGGGATCCAGATTAGATACCAAAGTTTTACAGCTTGCCATTATCCAATTCAAAAGTTGTAAATGATAGTCTAATTTTCAACAACGAAATGGGAGCTCGTTCTTAGTAGCAGACGCCATTCGTCTCCACGTGCTGGCGGGCTTTGTGGGCCACCATTTTCTCCTTGAAAACTTGTTGGCATTGCTCAGAACTTTTTAGTCAGATAATGATAGTTCTTAAACCAGCATCTGGTCGGGACCGTGAGCGCTAGGTTTTTGGCGCAGACCGAACATTCGGCTATGCATAGTTTTATTTTTGTGGTGAAAACAAACAGTTATAACATTTTTTTACAGACACCCGATGCAGCTCTACATTGCAATGACGGTGGGACAGAACAGTGGTCTGTGTCTAGTGCCCAGTGGAACTTGCCTGCTCACTTGAAACCGAGAAATTGGAAAAGCAATTTTGAGGCTAAAACCGTGTCTCCCTTGATCTTGCAGAGCAGCTTGCATTAGTTTCCAAGGAATCTGCATTTCACCTGGTTTTGTCCCTAGATATGCGAGTCAGTTTTTGGTGGTGTCGAGTTTCAACGGGGATTGTATAAAATCGCCGACTGTCGTACCCTTTTTTCGGGGATTGGCGAAAACTTGCGAAGGATTGGTGCGATGAAACTGGATCAAGCGTGGACATTAGAGACTTTTCTCGCAATATATTTTCTGACTGTGGCCCGACGATAATTACAAGGCAGGTGTGTGGCCTTTTTACACACTACAGCGCACTATAGAAAATAACACTCGCTCCTTACACACAAAAAATAAAGCAAAATTCAAACAAACCGCGCTGACTAACAACTCATTTTTATATATACTTCGTCCTCTTCTACCTCTTGCACTACCGAATTTCCCGAATCACGCGCATCGATCCCCTAGACGCCTAAAATTTTTTTCTCTTTTTCTGTCGGATGTAAAGATGGTGTACTAATACAGCTTTTATAATTCCTGGCGATATGTTCAGCTTCGATAATTTCTCTAGTTAATTGGTTACTATTCCTACCTAAAATTGTACAGGATGGCAGGTGAACGTCACACCCACAATCATGGCAGTGTATGCCTAGATGGCCAGAGTTGGCTCTGGTGCTGTTGTTTTTATGTTTGTGTGGCCTTGTTTGCTTTCCTGCGAGTCTTCTGCAGTAACCCTGCCAGTTATATTTGTTTTTAATGGTAGGGCAGTCTATTGTGTGGTCCGAAAATATTCCACTGTAGCAGCATTCAATTGATTACTGACCCTAGCAGGACATATCAGGGGGGCGAGGATAGCATTAAAAACATTAATCAACAATACGATCAGTCTCTAGTGTTCTACCTAGGCGTCTTTACATCATGAATTTATCGGATGAAAATTTGAAAGGTCAACGTTGCCAAACAAGTTTCGTTGCGAGAATTTGTTTTGGAAATTGATTCGTAGTTGGACGGGTCTAAAACGCTGGTGGCTGGAGCGGAACAGATTTTTGACCAATGTGTATATTATCTGGTGATAAACCTTGATTTATGAAAGACAATGTAACTTTGCAATAGATGAGCATAACTATGGTTGTACATCAAATGTTTCAATTTACACAACATAATAGAAGACCTATCGCAGAGCAAAATAGGGCAAACTATTGGCGCCCACCTTGCCGGTGCATTTGTATCTTTTGGGGTGTATCGAGAGCCACAGTATCAAAAGATTGTCTGCGTAGCATACGTACTACAAGGAGGGACGAACCACACAAAATGGACCATTGTCAGAACTCCTAGCCCCCGCGGTAATCTCGGACGCGGGCTCTCGAGACGAGACGGGCTGCGCATAAAACAAGATATTTGCATTTTGCAGCACTATTAGCATTGGTATTGTTCTTGAGTTTGTTACTACGCCTTTCCGATGTTCTTGCACTACAATATGTGCAAAAATATCTAAAAAACAAAGTCTTGCAAAAAAACACAGCCCCCTACTGTGTCATGGCATCAGCATAAGCAAACATGGAGCAGAATAGAGCAAGAGGAAGCTGCCTGACATAAAACTACAGCTGCCAAGGTCTGCGAATGTGATCATGCACCTCAACCTACCCATTTCCACCAAAACTGTGTCGCAAGCCTTACGGGGAATAATCGCAAACTGGCTGCTATTGTCGAACCAGAAATGACATCGTGGAAATACTCTGGAGTATCTGTATCTGCATTGAGATACATTTGAACAATGTATTTGTATCTTGGTAGTGAAATACATTTACCGTGTATCATTGTATTGCAATACTCTGTCGGGCTTAGGTATCAATAAATTTGCTGGGGACAGTTACCCCTGGCTTTTACAATAAACTGTAAACGACCTTTTTAGTAAACCTGCTGCATAACCCCGTCTGGGTAGCCTAAATGTAAAAACATGTAACAAAAAGTGGTTTGGGGATAAGTTCTTACAAAGCCCTGCACTCTCTACATTAGCATAGCAAATGCTGAAAACATGGGTGGAGAGGAAGAAACCACAATCATGGACAGTAGAGAACTTGTAAGCACTTGTTTTCTTCTTAAGTTGCAACAGGTTCCGTGCAGACTAGGGTGGTTTCGTGTAGACCGCAGACAGATTTGGCCCTGTTCAGCCCCTGGACGACGATCGAAAGTACTTAGACGACCGTTTGAGACGGACCCTCACGGCAAAACTGGGTTCATTATGGCGGATGGCTTTTGTCAAGTGTGGCCGGCAATCGTTGGCCTCCAGTACCTATGCAGGTCGCTGGGGACGATAACATTTTAGAGCGCAGCTCTTAGGCGCACGTTTCCGGCTTGAGCGACGTCGACGTAACTGCAAGCCCCCCCTCTGAGGACCTCGGGTTCCTTTGGGAGGACCTTGGGTGCCTTTGGTGACCCCCCCCTCCCCGAGGTCATGCGACTCCCCCCCCCTCAGCACCCTTCCCTCCTTCTCAAGAGCTGTGCTCTAATTCGGCATTACAGGGAGTTGTAAACGGCTTTCACTTTTTTTTTTAGCTGCATAGGTGCGGTAGTTGCGAGTGGACGAAGAGTGTGAGGTAAGGAAGGTGTATGAACTAACACGTACAGAGAGGAACACGAGCCCTGCTGATGGCGTTTGCCACGAACTGCAGCCTTCCCACCTTCCACCATTTTGGAAAATAATGGATTTCCCTATGTCTGGAATACTTTTTTTTGCCATTTTTGCGTGTCTCCAGGATATCCTGTTACATAGTAAAAGACAAATGGATCTAAGTTTCTGTATTGTGGCCTTAATTGTACCTCAAAGAACCTTTCAATAGACAACAACCTGGTTAGGAATTATTAAAATGGGACAAAAAAAACTCGCCATCGGAAATCTGAGTACCCAACGTTTCAAGGCCAGCTCGTACCCTTGATCGCTGGTTAGAGTGGACGAGATTTGCCGCCTCCTGGACCTCTGTTTAACCGTTACTTACTTTTCTTTCACTGGTCATTTTTACAGACGGACAGAAAAGCTCAAACACAATCTACCCGAGACCTGCTTTGTTCTTGCGGTGTGTGGATGATAGCTGTTGCGTGGTATAGAACACCTGAATGTTTGAGTGGGATGGCTGTCTGCCATTTCTGGACGTCGGCACTGTGAGGTCGAGTCGATTGACTTGCGATCTATACAGAAAACCGACACACCAGACAATCTTAACTTTGCGTCAAAACATCTTGCGACAAACAAGTCCTCCCTGCCATTGCACCTTTTAGGCCAGGGCTGGATTTAGGGAGGGGATGGGGGGGAAGGGGGGCGTCTACCCCCCCCCCTCCCTATTGTCTATTGATAGCCTGGTGGTAGCTGGCCATTGGTGGCCCAGTTTTTTACGCTTCTTTATGGGAGACATGCTTGTTTTAGAGCGCAGCTCTTAGGGGCCCGTGTGCCCGGCTTGAGCGGCGTCGCCGTCGGCGTAACCAAGGTCACGTGACCACCAAGGTCACATGACCCCCAAGGTCACGTGACTCCCCGAGGTCACGTGACCCCCCCCCCCCCCCCCCCCCCCCCCGAGGTCACGTGACCACCCGATGACGTCATCGTCACTGATGACGTCACCATCAACCGCATCATCATCGTCATCATCACTGATGACAATGCGATGACGTCGTCGTCACTGATGACGTCACCGGCATCCGCATCGTCATCATTACTGATGACGTCATCAGCATCGTCACGTGACCCCCCCCCCCCAGTACCCTTCCCTCCTCCTCAAGAGCTGCGCTCAAATTCGGCGTTACAGGGAGTTGTAAACGGCTTTCACTTTTTTAAAGTTGTTTTCTGGACGTGGCACATTGTGTAAAGCTTGGCACTGGTGCTAAACATATTGCTTAGACACAGCTTCGTCATTGACACAAGTTTCGTGCCTCAACGGCAGCAATAACGGTTTTTTGAACGCATTGAATCGGAGAAATATCCGGCGTGCTGTTTAACTCGGCATTTGTCGAGGTCGGAACAGATGCACCAAGCGCCAAGTTTGTGCGCCCAAGTGCCATGACAGCATTTCTTTTCTCCATTGTGCCGTCTGGCTGGTGGAGACGCTGTCAGCATAGGCTACTTGGGCGTGCACCAGTAGGACTTTAACTGGTCGATTGCGTCGCAGCGTTCACCATGCTGCACCCTCACCTAAAAAGTGTCTTGCACCGTGGTCATAGAGTAGTTTCTCTGCAGCCACCAGGATAGTGCTCCCATAATTTAAAATACCGTCTGCATGTACTGGGCAAATTTGGCAAGCTCTGTACCTCAATGAATAGGCCCCCTGACAGTGATACGGCACCCATCTTATTTCTGCGCTATGCATAGTGTTCCCCTCCTGGCAGCACATATGCATGCAAACTTCCTGCAACTCCACCTACATGAGGTCCACACAAAGCATGCAATTCTTGCACAGAACTGAGAGATTCCACGAGCACTTGTACGGAAGGGCCAGTTTCCTAAAACGGCCCATGGCAGAAACTCCATTCGGTACACCACTGACTAAACTTGAACCACTGCACTTCTTTAATTGAGGGAGTATCCTGCTAGCATCTTGTCTATATTTCTTTTGTATGGTGATCTGGTGTTGGCAGCTAATTGTCCTCGAGTGACTTCTTCCGCAGGAGGACAATCTTTTGTCTACTGGCAGCATTTTCTCTATTAAGGAGATCCAACCGTCACGCCAGCAGCGGCTAGGTTGGTAATTAAATCCACGGCAACAACAACATGGACTATTTCTGTTTCCAAAGCAGTGCTCGGCTGACGTAGCCGAATGCCGCACCAGCGTTTGGCTGGGCCCCAGCGAGGAAGCCCACATAAATAATCCGGCATACAGGCCTCGTGTTTCATAAACACCGAGCTCTGTCGAAAACGAACTGGGCAGGGTGCCCTCTATAATTCGATCTCCTCGCCGATCGCCTGAAGCGAAGTATGGATGTGGCTTCATTCGACAGTGGAGCTGTAATTGCTTCGTGCACATAAAATCTCTTATTTTGAGAACTTCACTTTCGCTACATCACCAGCAGCAGAGGTTTAGGAGTTGTGCAACTAGTAAAGGATATTTTACAGGCTCCGAAACACTGACAGTGTATTTATGCTCACCAAAGTTTTTTTTTTTTTTTTTTTTTGGTACATGACATACAAGCGTTCAATTACCCAGAAAAAAAAAAAAAAAAAACAATTTGCGGCTTGAAATTCGTTTTCTCTTTGCCCGAAAACCGCCGATCGAGAACTCGCCAATTTGAGTCGCGCTCGTTCTCTTCTCTGTGGTCACGGGCCGTTTTCTGAGGTTTAGACACAATCACCAAATTTAATCAAAGTTGTAGGTCATTGAAGGCACATTATGTCGATTGAGAAAAAAAAAAAGTTTCACAGAGAACCACAAGCACTCTGTGCATTCTCTGCGTAATTCTCAACATGGCGTCGTATCGCGGCGGGAGTCGTAAGCTGGACGGCTGAACGAAGTGTTAAATCTTTTAGCCCTCATTGAAATACCAGAAATTAAGACAACAAATGCAATTGACTGTTTACTTCTGGTAGCTTACTTTTGGGAGAGGCATTTATCTGCACAGCTCCAATCTATGGATGCAACCTAGCGGAATTGATTTTAATATACGAAATGCGGGCCGAAACTGGCTATTTGCTGAAACGCCGTTTTATTGAGTGGTGTTTGCTGAACAAGGCTGACCTTTATAAAATTTCGGAGCCCACCACAGGGGGTTGTTAATAACATTTATTGTACGCAATCACCACAGAAGTTTTGGCATAGGTATATTCATGGGTGCCCAAATCAAAGTATTCCTATGGTAATTATTTCTTCATAGAGCTTAAGTAATCAGCCCCTTTTAAAATAGCCTACACACCCAAAACAGAGGAAACTTGTAAGCGATGAAAGAAACCGTCGGGGTTATGCTTTTGCTTCTTTCCTGCATCTCCTTGATCTTGAGTACCCTAGTATATATTCAGCGTCAACTATTTTGTGCTGCCATGTCAAGGCTAGCATAACCCCAAGTCGCACCAACGCTGCCAAACCTATTTGCACGAGAGCACGTGCATACGAAACGCAAACACTTGTGCTTGCAATGGTGCGGGGCTGCGGCATTGCTGAAGCTACAATAGCCTCGACAACATAGCACAAGATAGTTGATGCCGAGTGTAATCAATGCAAACGGTTGACCCGGCTTGATCTTTGTATAAAATGGTTCACAATGAACTGTTGTCGAACAAAAATTGGTTAATCTATAACATTGGCTATATAGTTATCATGTCCTTTGATAAAACAGCTCTAGAATATTGAGCCCAGTGTTGGCAACAGCAGGTTCTTAGTTGGCAACATCCGGTTGACCCTACGCCGGTTAGGCCGCTCAGAAGTCGAGCGGAATGTCGATGACATGCAGTTCGTCTTGAACGGCGACTGCCTCAGACTCGTTGCCCCCGACATCGACGTCGACGAAGAGGGGCGTCGTGCCCAGAATTCGTCCTTTTTGCGCAGAGCCGGGTGCCGCAATGCCATAGACGATGAATAGAAGCACCAAGGAAAGCATAACCATTGCACAGATGATGCCAGCCCTGGTGTATCTTCCCTTCTTGGAGACGTCCGCACCAAGCTCGGTCTCGGCTAGTGGATCGTCTTCCTGTTTAGGATGAGAAGCAACGTAGAGCCACTAAGCAAGCCTAAGAGTAGCAGCACTTCATTCTCCCGGTTTTCTTGTGGACACCGCCATTTTGGTGCTCAGTGCAGAACGGGTGCAAATGGCGATTGTTACAATTAGAAAATGCGATTTCCCGAGCTTTAGATGCAGTGTCGGGAAGTGCCGGCAATGTCGTTTTACTTTGGCACAGAGTGTTTTCACGTTTCAGGAGGACAAAAAAACCACCTCCAGCAATTTGAGATAAAGTTTCAGATAACTGGCAAGAATGATTTCACGCACCAAGATGGCCGAAGTGTTGTTACTTTGAAGCGAAGGCCGATTTACTGGCCCTATTGGACAGGAGATCGAACCATAGGGGGCGCTCTGACCCGCTTGTTTTCCCCACGCTTGGTGTTTACTCAACACAAGGCCTGTGCACATGCCGACAGGCCTTATGGGCATGGCCATGTCATCTTCTACAATAGAGCGCGGGGCGCAGTTTAATGTAAAAAATACTAACAATCGACGAAGCGACGTTAAGTGCCGGATCTATCCTCAGAGAATGCGAGCTTGACCCACTTCGGCTTTTGTGCTGAGCTGGGATCGGGCATGCTGCATTGTTCATGCAGGCCGAGTGGAAACAAAAGAGCCCCTCCTCCCCCTCGCCGGAGAACACGAACTCCAGCCGAACGCTGACGCCGCGTTCGGTTCTGTCGGCCGAGCGCTGCGTCATTGTATTTGTTGTCCCCATCCGTGTAGTTGTTAAGTTAACCGCTTGGGGTGTCACGGTCTGTCCTCCTCCCCAATAGCAGACGACACGTGGCTCGACTTCCGTAAAGGACGCGGACAAGTGCACGGGCGGCAGAGGGTGCGAGCTTGTCCTAGGGATAAAACGTTTAGATTCCCTACGTTGAGAGTTTGTGTTGGGAATCAATTCTCTGAATTTGATGAAAGAAAACAAACCATACTGACCAGTGGGAGACACTCTTATTTGCAACGATACACATACGTCAGTTTACGCACGTCTTGCCCAGCCCCGAAAGGCAAAATTTTTGTCAGTGCCAGGACTGGGTTCTTGACGCACCTTTCATGCAATTTTAAACTTGGGGGGGGGAGTTTGAGGGTAGTGGGCGATTGATTTCTTTCAGCGATTATCGAAGTCTTTCGAAAGTAAGGGATCGGTGGTTATTGCAACGTGGGTGCATGCTCGGTATTTTACGGTATATAGCGGGACATCTATTACCATGGTCGGTGACGGGTTAAGAACCCCAGAAAGGCTCCACCTCCAACACCTCCAACGTACAAACCAAGTGTTATTGAAGATGTTTGAGGCAGCTCATCTCCTAGGTTCTGAACCTGCCACCGACTACAGTTATAATTTTTGTTTACGTGCCACGCATATATATTGCAACCTCCCTTACTTTCTCTCTTTTCCTCCTCGTGTAATGCGTCGCTAAATGCCTTTGAAGCAAAATAAGCGAAAAGAAATGAAATTACCTCTGCTTCTGCCAGACTCTCCTCCTGCGTTTCCATGTCGACTTCGTGCTCTTCGACGGTGGGGCTGGTTGCAACGTCCTCGTCCTTCGGGTCTGGGGAGGCGTCGGGCGAGCATGTGCCTGGGCTTTTGTCCGGACTTGCATCCAGTTGCTCCGTCCCGCCGCCTGCGTCCTGGGAAAGGGTCCGGTGAAACGCCGAGCAAGCGTCCCCAATCGTTCCCGCACCATGCGGTGTAACGAGGGATCAACGAAAGGCCTCGAAGGTTTATTGGAAACTTCTATTGAGAGACAATTTCTAAAACCTGGGGGATGAGTGCTTGTTCGGTTCAAGAGCAAACATGGAGAAGGGGGTGCCGATGATTTGGGCTTCACAACTTTACAGTGGGGTACTTGGAGCAGCGGCTGACAAGGAGCACCTTGTTTTCCTAGGTGGGTTTGGAAGTTCGGAGGCAGTGCTCGATATGTCCTTCAATTAGTTTTTAAACATTTTAAAAGTAGCGGGGGCCACTTATTGTGACCCGGGTGCACGCTCGGTGCGTTACGGTATGCTTCGATGCCACGATGCACATTGCTCTTGGCCAGTTCGCGGAAGTGATTGCCCTACGTGCAGCCGGAACAATGCCTCTGGATGATACTGCCGCTTCCGTAGCCAACTTCCATACATGCTCGGAACCTTGTTGGAGGTTCCGAGCATGTATGGAAGTTGTAACGACGTGCCATCACTTGGCCCACTTAACTTATTGATTTTGCACTAGGGTTTCTTCTGGTGCTCATTCCCAATACATCTCAATCTAATTAGTAAAGTGCCATTGATTTCTGCGAGCTAAAATTGATATTTGTAAAAATGTACTAAAAACAAGACATCAGCAACAGCGCACTGTGATTATTGAACATCATTATAGGCACAAAGGTGTTTGGTCCGATGACTTCAACTCTCTGTAGTGCTTTACCTGTTTTCGGAGGAGAAATAACCTGAACCAGTGCGGACCTCTGGGGGTCTGTGCACCCAGTTTGAGAATCGCTTCTCTAAACAATTCACCCCATAAATCTGTAAATTGTTTTTTCGATTGGCAGTGTTGAAATTAGCCGTTTTATGCCAATTACACCGATCTGGTCTTCCATTCAACTTGTCTTCGAATACTTCGTACAGGGACACATTGTCTCGCATGTTGCATATTAAAAGCGTTCCTATTGCTTCTTTCCACCTTGTTCGGGATGAAGAATTTATTATTAAATGTCCAAATCGCAGCGTTACCGATTAGTTCCGCCACCAGCCTTTGCAGATACGAGTCGTTTCTTGCTTTGCTCGAGATGCCAGAAACATACGTAACTTGCAATACTTACAAGCTACTAGAAACTGTGTGTAAGGCAGTTACAATTGCTGCACACTAAAGATGTACTTTACATTAGATACCATAAATTACCGAGCGTGCACCTCTGACACCCACTATTTATGAAATGTCAGAAGAAAGAGCAAAGGGCGTATCGAGTACCCACACCCAGCCTCTGGGCACACCCAGCAAGCAGAGAAGCTTCTCCACATCAGCTGCCTCTCGGGAAACCTCGGTGCAAAGCACTGATGCGCACATGATCACATGGCCCTTTTGCATTTCTGCACTCTGCCTTAACAAGTGCCCATTCCCCAGTTTTCCAAGCCCATCTTCAAACTTGGGTGGTGTGCGACACAACAGATATATTGTATCATGGGTGGACGAATGATCAATATTTTACGGCCGTTTCTGACTTGCAGCTATCTCTACTGAACCTTAGCCTGCTACAACATGCTAGTCCATTGCAACTGAAGAAGGTAGGGAGAGGGAAAGGTGGGGAGGAGGAAGCAGAGGGGATGCTGGAGAGAGGAGGACGTTTCCCCCTTTTCCCTCCAGTGTTCCATCTGCTTCTTCCTCTCCAGCCTTCCTTTCCCTCGCCCTACCTTCTTGAGCTGTAACTGATAGCGAGTTCGTTTCACGGCACTCGTGCCCACGCGTGCCCACTCGCAGCGTGGAACGGGTTCGTTTCGGCCGGCGCTCCACGAGTGGTTGCACTCTCCGAGTTCGTTTCAGCGCTGACACCCCACGCGTGCATGCACTCGCTGCACCGAGAAAATCGGGAGTGCGCCAAAATGCAATCCTGTCATGCCTCGCTCCGGCGGGGCCGGCGAGGAGCGGGAGCAGACGACGAGGGTTTGTCTGCTGCGATGTGTCGCGGAACCGAACGGAAAAAAAAGTAGATTTTCTGATAGAAATCGCGTCCCGCGGGTAACGAAATCAAACGCGAGCTTGAATTGTGAGCGCCTGCTATTTCACGGAGGAAGCAATTGACAACCCGTGATTTATTTGCAGGTTTTAAATTGCTCTGTTGCCGTACAAACGCTGTCATATACCAGTGTGTAAGGAAATGCTCAGAACAAACGCAACAGCGGCCCCCGAGATGTCGATCACCATCCGTGTGCGGGTGAAAAATTTAACATTTGTCGATAAAACTCCCCCAGCAGAAACCTCTGACTGCCCAATAAGCATCAGAGAAAACTAAAGATGGTGACTTTACCCGAGGATTGGGCAACATCATCATGTTTAACATTTACCTACGCAGCTAACTTGCCCCGTCGTATTTTGTTCGAGAAAGCTCTCGTTCTCGACGCCCTCACCAAGGCCAATATCTAATCCACCTATAATGACGATCCAAATTGAAAGTCCCAGTTTTGCTGGATATTCCAACAGGCTAGTTTTAAGCCGTACCCTTTCAGTGGTTCACGCATAATACCATGCTCAAACGGATCAAGCTTCTGCTCAGACAGCATCATCAGTTTTCTTCAGTGTAAACGGTTATAAGGATTGAAAGATCGCAACCAGTTGCTTTGTAGACAGCTGGTTGCGGAAATTTACGCCGTCTGTAACTATCCCTACGGCAGCCGAGCTGCTTGAAGACATCGCAACTCTGAACTACAGGTTGCAGTTGCCAACGTTTGTAGATAAACGTTTGTAGCGACTGCATTCTCGCATTCCCACGCATCACTCCGAACAGAAAGGCACTAGTTTCGGTTTGAAGTCGGTACCTTTTCTACAACATAGATGGCGACAGCATCAGTCTTCTGCACTCGGTGCATTTGGCGAGTTCGTTTGAGTCCAGTTTTCCGTGCAACACTCAGTGAGTGCGATGCATTCTGGGAGAGAACTCGAACGGTGCCAGTGCGTGTGAAACAAACTCGCTATTACTATACACCTTTTCTACGTGGGCGCCGCCATCTTCAATTCTGGAACTTCCGGTATGCGTGAAAACATTGCTTTCCCCTCGTCTCGCCAGTAGAACATGTTAAGATTTTAATTGCAACAGTCGTTCCTTCTTGTTATGTCCTTTCTATATATTTTTTTCTTTTTCAAGGTTGAAATCTTTTGCTTTTTTTCGGAACGCATACCGGATATGGTAACAACGTGGCTGGGTACGAGGCTAAACAAAAAAGGTGTATATATAGAAGGGACTGCAATGTAAATGGAGAGAACTGGATGAAGACAGGGACAGCGTGCGTCTGCCAGTCCACCAGCTGCCCCGACTTCAACGAGGAACGTCGGGTAGTACCAGTCGCTGCACTAAAACAGCTGGACTGGAAGAAGCCTTACCCCCGGCAGTGAACTGACAGCCGTGACAGTGCTCGAGGTGAGGTCGCTTTCTGCCAGACTCGAAGAAGTTGGCTTGGAAACACCGGGACTTTTAAAGTTCACTTTCGGATCCGCAGTTTTCTGAGCAGCCTGCGCTTGCAGAGCCTGTTCCGGCACGCCATTCGGTGTTGCGCTGGAACGCTCGATCGACGCTCCGGAGCCCGGCACTTCAGCTGCCTTTGTTGCCGCTTCTAGAGGCGGGCTCGCACCGGTGCTTCCCCCCTCACGCCGCTCTTCCGTTGGCTTCGAGTCGACGCCGGATGCCGTGCCAGCTGGTGACCCCGTGCTTCCGGCAGCTTCGTCTTTCTGGACTTCCAAAGGTGTCGCTGCAGCGGTCTTAGTCTTGTCCGACTCCCCGGCACCCTCGACAGTTGCCGAAAGAAGCTCAACACCTCGGGTCGCCGGGCTGGCACTCTTTGGAGTACATCCAGCTGGTTTCGGCCTTGCCTCCGGCAGTCCAGAATCACTGGCTCTGCTGCTCGGCGCATCCGCAGACCCGCCGGCAGCAATGGCTGCGACGGACGTAGTCTTCGAAGGCGGGCTATCCTTCTGAATTCCCATACTGCGATCAACCTCCTCGTCCAGAACGCCACCTTCGAACGGCTCTACCACACATTCCATGATGGCCGGACCCTCTTCAGTGCTCGGGTTCGAGTGGAACCAGACGTCGAATGGCATCACGATGGGATGCTGCGGGTAGTAGCAGAACGGATAGCTCGGAAGTGAGGGGAAGTACGGGAGGTTCGGCGGTCCGTAGTTCGGGTGCGGAGGCGGCAACAGAGCCGAGATTGGGCTGGCGCATGTGCAGAGCGAACCGGCGGGGAACGGGAACTGCGGCCTGGGCAGAGAGAACCACGGCAATGGCCAGCCCGGGAACCGTGGACTTCGCAGCTGGTCCTCCCGCAGGCAGTGGGGGCACACTTCCACCGACGTTTCTGACTCGCTGGTTCGCGAATAGAACGTGCTCGTCGTAACATCCTGGGAGGAGAAGACGACCTGGCATCCGACGGACATTGCACGCTTGGCGCTCTGGGGTTTGCGGGCCTGGAAAACCGTATTCGGGCCTTCCCTTGCGGCCGCAGTCCGCAGAGAGGCGAAATCGGGGGCCGTGGGAGGCAGGGCCGACGCCCACGGCGAAGGGACCGCCCGCAGGCCTACTCGCGACGGTTTCCTCGTGCTCTCGAAAGGAAGTTCTTCGCAGGACGTGGGCGTCGAGGAGCCGAGCATCGTCACTTCGAAGAGGGGGGCTGCTGGGAATTGCAGGGCCTGCAGTCTCGTCTTCGGGATGAACCGAGGACAACCGCCAGTTGCAGGTCGGTTGGGGTCGGAACATTCCTCTTCTTCTACTTCCACTACCACCCATGTACCCCTACCATAGGCTTCGGTACTTGCTAGTTGTTCCAGTGTTCCATCCCCACCCCTGCCCGTTTTGATCTGGATTTGCATCCTACAGGAGTGCGGTCGGGCGTCACTACTGCGCGACGCACGAAAAGGACCCCAGGCTAACAGTTGTACAGCACTGGCTAAATGTCTCGTCTACAATGGATAACAATGCCACCATGTTTCTGGCAGACTAACCTCCCACTGTATAAAGAACTAATGACTAATTATTTTTAGTTCTACCAATTACTTACTACCTAGAAAGAAGTATTGAAAAGAAAAAGTTCTGAAGAAAATGGAACATTGGACTTGTTCCACAAAGGAATTTTGGATCGTGTTCTCACCAGATGGCAGGTGTTACTGCACTTACGGTAGTTAAAGTCCCTGGATAAAATTCCCGCTTTGCGTTTCTTAAGTGTCGACAACCGCCGTCGAGTGATTGCACGAGACGGGTGCCACAAGCAGTTGTACTGCTTGTGGCAATGCCATTCGCTTGTAAGGGCTACCCATTTAGTGCGGCACCGCCTTTTGCTTCCAGGGGCTGCAGGAGGCACGGGTTTTGGGCTTTGGCGCATGCGACGCTACTTGCAAGACGACCACAAGCGCATCGTCAATATTTATATCCACAACCAATTTGAAATCCACAGGTTGGTTTTTCCCATTTTTACATTTTGTGTCTTGCTTTTTTCGCGACACGCTTTTGTGCGCTAAACATTCCCAACATAGCAGTAGACTTCCGTGCACTGAATTGCCGTATTGCAGTCAGTAAGACGTTTGAAACAAAAATACTTCCTGAACTAATACTCGAGCTCATCCAACGTACAAAAAAAAAACCAGCCTTTGCGATTTGGGTAATTTTTAAAAGCAAATAAACTAATGCCACAACATATTATTCGCCCGCCCCGTCCACAGCTCATCAAATCGTGCGGGACATTTCGAATTCCCGACCCAGGTATGGCTAAGCCCCTTGATACAGACGTTTTTTACAAGTACCGCCAACCATTGTTGTGGAACCGCACGAGACACGTGCCACGAGCGGGTGCTCCGCCGCCATTCGCTTCCTAGGGCCGCTCATTTCAGTGCTGCGCTGCCGTTCGCTTCCAAGGGCCGCTCGAGACCCGGGTCTCGTGCACTCGCGCATTTGACGCTACCTGCACGACAAACGCAAACATATCAAGGGGCTTTAGGTATGGCGGCACGTTTCTCAATGTTTGGAAATATGCGAGTACAATTGTCGAGACATCCTTATACCCGTTACACGGGCACACTTAACCGTGGTTAACTCAGCTTTAACTGCGGTTACGTGGCAGCACATTTGCCGCACTATACCCTCGGACAGCTATCTCAAAAGAAGTGAAGACAGCGCGTGCACTGCTTTGATGGGTGCTCAAGATGCTCAAGCGCACGTTCGCCCATAGCTCCGACTGCATCGCCGCAGAATGTTGTCGGCAAGTATTGTGCGCTAATTGTGGTTTAGCGTAACTGCAGTTAAGTGTGCCCGTGTAACAAGGGTATTAGAGCACCGCAGTAACGCGGACCCAACTTATTCATTTTTCTTAGCCCTCCGACGTAGTTAATAAAAATTAAAGGTCACTTCCATAGACAACAATTAGATGCCAACGAACATTAGTGTGCCCCTCGGCCCGGAATCAGGAATGCCGAATTACGAGACCTTGGGAATTTTCGTACGTAGCCATGCACGGCAGAGTATTGGCAGAGAGTGCCAAACGGTTTGCAGATGCTTCATTCTCACAAAAACCTAAATGCTTTCCTCTACACTCTGTTCTCCCCTCAGCCGACAGTGTGGTGGGAGGTACGAGCTCGCTGGACCAATCAAACGCCTCCCTTTCATCGTCCGACCCCGCCCCCTGAACGTGGGTGAAAGCGCGCTCAAGGAGCAGAAGATACGCACAAGCAGTTCAAGCACATAGTTTCCCACCGCACCGTCGGCTTAGGGGTGTACGGAGTATAAACAAGTTCATCCAGAACAAATCTGCGCAATTTTCGCACAGTTTCTTACCTTGCTTGGCAACAGACACGTTTAAAACAAGTAAAAGCACCGCCTGCGCATTCCGGCCCAGATGAGCCTAGTATCCGCGTGCGCTCGTATAACCACTTTTGAAGACTATAGCTTGAAAGTTGGACCGCATTGGCCAAATTTCTCATCTACAGCTGGACGGAAAGGGGGCTGACAAACTTCCCGTCGTCTAAAGAAACGCGAGACGCAATTACGTGTCCGATCCAAGGCAAAAACGAGGTACGAGGAGCCACAACCTTAGTCTGTCGAGTTCATCAGAATTTATGTCACGGTATACATAACAGAACATCCAATTTCTTTTTAAATTTGGAATTTTGTTTATACATATATTTTTTCTTTTTGCAGCGACAGCTGTTGGCCGATTGTTTCCCGGTGTTTCGACGACGCGAGCGCAAACGAAAAGTTTTCCCGCTAAATTTGGCGCTAAAATTAATGTAAGTGACCCGACGGCACCGGAACTAGACAATATAAACTCCCCTGTTAAATTTAGCGGAAACATTTACGTCTCCCTATTCCCTCAGTTTTCCTGATAAACTTGGTGGAACACTTAATGTCAAGTGACCTATGCACCAAATCAGTTTCCCTGCTAAATTTGGCTAGAAAATTGACGTTGCGGGACCTAGACATATTTAGGTTCCCCGCTAAATTTAGCTAAAAAATTGACGTCGCGTGACTTGGGTACTAATTCAGTTTCCCCGCTAAATTTGGCGAGAAAACGCATCACGACCCTAAAATTATTTATTCATCAACAATGTATCGATGCAAAATCGACGCAACGTCAATATTAGATCACCGTACAACGTACAATCGGTGCAAGGTCAATCGATCGTCATATCGTCGAATAAGCAGCACAGCTGTAGCTGTCTAAACGCGTTCCGTCGTGCAAACGTTGCGCAATTTTTGCCGGTGTTGCGATGCACCACCGGGAAAACATGTTGGCTTTACCCGAGCCTGGCTTGCCTCTGGCTCCTTAAAACCTGAATGAGGGAGGCTTCCGAACGATGCAACATGGTCGAGTCAGCACTGGGAGTAGCGTCCCATCTCGGCAAAGAAAACAGAGCACGAAATTGCTGATTAAAAAGTTTATTTACTCTCTCGTGTATGTACGGAACTTTTTCGTCCCTACAATCAATCTGTAGCACCACAGGCACAATTCAAATTCATGTTTGTAGTAATGTTAACAACGCTACATTTGGCCAAAAACGAGTAAGAGTGAGTGCTCGTCAACACGGAAAAAAAAACAGTTCCTCGGACCCAAAAATGCATGCGAGGCTAAAAAATAAATCTCTCAGGATTGCACCTACAGAACGACAGCCTTCAACTCTAAAACGCCACCTCGCACGCCTGTTCTTTTAAAAACTGCTCGAAATCGTGCGCGTGCCTTAAAAACTGCAGCCTCGACAAAAAAAAACAACTAAAGGTACGGTACCCGAAGTGTGCACCGAGACAGCAATGTGCACAAACACACACATCCTCAACAGATAAAGGAAAATAAAACTTGCCAGAACAGAATTAATAAATAGAGAGTGAACTTTTTCGAGATGCCCTCCTCCCCCTTTTCCGCATGGAGAAAAAAAACATTTGCGGACAATTATTTCGGCGTCCTCCAGAAGCATGATTGCTCGATGTCGTTTATGTACAACGTGGCCACAGAGGTGAGTTCATTGTGCAAGAAGCAGAGCCTAAAAAAAAAAAAAAAATAACAGCCACTGGAAACAAAGGTGTAACTGGGGAGCGGGAATGCAGTTCAAACCATGCAAAAATGGGGATCATGCCTACATGGGTGCCAACAACGCACCAATGCGGGGGTTGGTACACCCAGAAGCTGTGCAGATAAATGGCGACATCGAGAAGAGTGTTCTTCACTCGATCCCGAAAGAGCTACACCTAAAAAAAAAACTAATGCTGCCAGGGCCTTTCTCCTGCCCGTTGAGGAATCGGAACTCCTCTGCAGAAGAGGGACTCATATTAAACCTTCTTTCCTGCATTCACTTTGTTTCTACTGTTCAGTGGGAAAGTCAAGACTTCTGCTGTAGAGGGAGTCTGATAGGACCCCGACTTTCCAGCATGCCCTCCTCTTCTACTGCCAATTGTGAAATCAAGACTCCTCTGCTGGTAGGGCAGTCCAATTACGCCCACCTTTTTGCTGCATGCACTCCCTTTCTGGTGCCCATTAGGATATAAGCTCCTCTGCTGAACTTTGAAACAACCTTCTTTCCAGCATAAACTTTCTGCTGTCCATTGGTAAACAGACTCCACCGCTGAAAAGGGAGTAAGATGACACCCTTTTTTTCCTGCATGCACTCCCTTCTGCTACTCAGTGGGAAATCACGCCCCCTTACTGGGGTGGGGGGGGGGATGTCACATTACACCCCCTTTGCAAACGTGAGGCTTCATGGCACAAACAACGAAACTTAATGTGCTACAGACATCCTTCTTAAAAACGGTGCGAAGCAACAACAACCGCGGGGGGGGGGGGGGGGGGGGGGGGGGGGGGGAGAGAGGGCACTCGTGACAGAGAAGAAAACGATGATGCCGCCGCAACGACGGCACGCGTCCGAAAATCGTGGCCGTCTTTTCCTCGGGTTGAGCATCGGACAGTCTGTATCTGTTTCGGACGAAGGGGCTCACATGTACAATGTGCAGGGCTGGCTAACCAGAGGCGTTACACCAACCTCGCTCTAGGGGGGGCGACAGACATGGCGCGTTGTGCCTATGCGCGCATTCGTGAATTGGGGGGGGGGGTCGCGAAATCCATTCGAAGGGGGCGTCGTGAAAATAGGAAAGTTACTCCGAAACGGTAGCGGGAACAGTAAGAACGGTAAAAGAAAGAACTCCCGAGAGGATGCTTCCAAAGGAAACTTCGGGCGTGACGCCTCCTCCGTTGCCGCGCTGCTCTGGTTGGCTCTGCGGACGCCCGGAGGCTCGACGCCCGAGGTCTCCAGACACTGCAAGCACGGGTCCGAGTTAGCGTTTGCCGGCGTTGCTCAAAGTATGTAAAATGCGCTCTTGAAACTAAACTAGGACGCACTATCTAGGTTGCGGGCTCTTAAACCGAGTTCCCCCCGTGGTTAACCGGAGCAACCTCGTGGGTTCCTCGAGCTCCCAAGTGTCCTTGACAGTCCTTGTCCCCAAGATAGTTCGAATCAAAGATTAAAGGGGCACTAGACCACTTTCTGCAATAGTCCATTTATGCTCCTAACTCAATCTATGGGCACCAAGCATCCTAATATCCAAACATTACATTCATGCATGGCCAATTTCTCTATTCCAATTGGTATCAAAAGGTCGATCACCTCAACTATTGCTGACACCAGAGGGTGCCATCAGATGAGAAGCTCCGGAGAAGCCCTTCTCATTCGATGGTGCACCTGGTGTCTGCAATAGTTATGAGGTCATCTATCTTTGATACTGATTTTAAGAGAAAAATCGGCCAAACACAAAGTGGTTCAGTCCCTTTACAAGCAAAGAAATGATGGAATAAATCGTGCTCTGAGACGTAACACCCTTAGAGGGATCATTGAAAGGTGTCCGGCTCAAGTTTTATAAATTACGCACCTCGTAGCGTTACTTTCTGCCTTGGATAGCTCACTGGGTCAATTGTAATACATACAGCACCAAGGACGGCCATCGGTTGCAACTTGATCTCTAACCCCAAGCATAAACTATCAGGGGTGGAACTCATCAAATGTATTTGGGAGCAGTCACGGGAGCAGCTGAAACCGGTGTTTTGGAGCAGGTTGGGAGCAGCTAAAACTACATTCTGGAGCAGGCTAGGAGCAGCTCAGATCAGTTTTCATTGCACTTCAGCTTGTGTCTTAGACGAGCACGGGAGCAATTTCAATAGTGCTTAGCAGCACAGATGAACATGAGAGGTTAGGAACCTAGGTAGTTGGGATAACAGTGTAACAGATGCGAAAACTTGGAACTTTGTGAGCCTTAATGAGAGCCAAAACGCAAGTACCATACGTTTCTGAAGATAGCGTCCTTGATATTTTGTGAGTGGCTTTCAGCTGCTCAAGATGCAAACCAGCACTGCTTATCGCACAACTCACGTGCTCGACATAGTAATTATATGTGCGAACCACGTGACGTGCGTAAGCAACGGACGTGCCGCTGCGTGGAGGAACAGGGCAACAAATTTCGAGTTTATCCTATTGTGCAACTCAATATCGAAGCAGCAGACTACGATTAACAGAGTTATTGTATTCAAAGCGATTAACAAGAGCAAGGTTAAAGTACGCCGAGCAGATCTACCGCTCGCGTGAGAGCTGCTGGACGGCAAAATTTCGGATCGGACAGCGTTTCCAGTTCTATCAAATCACAATTTATCTTGCAGGAATGCGGTTCCAACTTATAACGATTAAGTAGTAAACGGAATCTTTTGCTCATTTTTTTTTTCCACTGGCTGACTTCTGGATCCCGGGCCGCAGAGCCTCAGGCAATCTGACGCTTAACGACTCGACCTCACCTCGGCCGACTTGCTTAATCGCTGATGGTTGAAGAATAACAATCCAGTCGCATGCAGGTGGTGTAGCGCTTGGAATCCGATCCCCGAGTTTTTAGGCGCGCTTCCGAATCGAGATACATAGGGAGAATAAACAGAACAAAGGATTGCAGGGCCGACCAAGCTAAACGTGCTCATTGTTGCCAGTCGAGTCGATAGAAACCGAAACCAAGACAAAATACAATTTTTGGGGCGCACGTTGTGCGATTTGGCGCATAATGGCGCAAGCTATTGGCAGTGGCGCAGTTTCCGCAAAATGGCGCAGACAAATGCGTCTGGCGCAAAATGGCGCAAATGGCGCAGCCGTTCCACCCCTGAACTATGGATCAAAACACGATGGCAGAGCATACTATCAGCAAGCAGTCACGTATCCACTACTATGTGATAGACTGCAAAGACCCAAGGTTAGCAGTTGTACTGCTTGGACTAAATTGCTCACCTACAGCGAGATTTGGTATTGCCTTGGCTTCAAGGGCGACCCCTTGTCTACTAAACAATCCGCCCAATTTTATATTTTTGAAAAAAATTTTTTCCATCCGAGATGTTACTGTTGCATGTGGAAAAGAATTACAAGTCGAAGAAAACTCTGAGCGCATAAGCTTCTCAAAGACTTGTCTTCTTAATACGACACTGGATGTTACTACGAGTAATGCCCTGCTCTAAGACAAATGGTACGTTGGCCCAGAAAAATGGAACATCTTAAATAGACGCTGATTTGGCAAGCTCGTCCAACCTGAGAAATGACACTTGGGCACAATTAAAGTCTTTGTTACACACTCAATGCTCTAATTCAGACTACAATAAATGTACAAACAAACAGAAAGGTCTTTTGACAACCATCTTGTTCCACCCAGTCATTATACGAGCTATGCCTAACGAATCGGCACTTCATTCTTAGTTCATTGGGGGTGCCGCTCATTGGCGCACAGTGCAGAGCGAGCACAATAGACCCTTTCCGAAATTCAGTGCCATCTGGTGGTTCGTTAAAGCAGTTTAGCTTTTGCCATATCAATGGCGGAAATGAACTTGTATCGGCACCGTCACTTTTGCAAGTCAACGGCACGCGAGGAATTCTTCCGTTCGAGTTCTTTCTCAATCACTTTCAGTTTGATGGTGACCAAGAACCTGCATTCAGAACAAAGCTCCAACCGACTCAGATGCCTCGGGAAAGTTCTATACACCAAAATGCTTTAAAGCCAATTGTGTGCCGCCCCGCAGAGTGACTGAATCTGAGTTTATTAGAAATAAACTCTTACGTAGCTCTTGCGTTTAATTCCTACGCTGCGTGGTACTGACCCCCCGAATGTACAGGCCTCGCATCATCCGCTTAGAAGCATCTTCAACGTCTTCTTTATGAGTCGCTAGAAGGCCGCCATTGGTATGGCACAGATGCCTTTCCACATATGATAGCGATCAAAGTGGCCAGACTGAATTTCGGAAAGTATTTGCCATCGTTATGGTTTGAAAATGAAACTTCACCAGGTTTTGATACAATGAGTGTCTTGCCCTGTCGTGGACTGTCTTAACACTTCTGAGCGCAGCAAAGTTTCCCGCGATTTCGCATGAAGTTTCAGATAATTGGCAATTCTCATTTAGAGGTACCGAGACATAACAACGAGATTAGAGTGCTGGTGAAATTACCTGGGGAAAACTGGACCAAGTACCAATAACTAGCACAGCTGAGAGACTATAGTTTGTTGGAACTCAAGAAGGTAGGGCAAGGGAAAGGAAGGCCGGGGAAGGAGGAAGCAGACAATCCTGGAGAGGGGGAAACCTCTCTAGCGTTCCACCTGCTTCCTCCTCCCCAGCCATCGTTTCCCTCGCCCTACCTTGTTGAGTTGCAACCGACTATAGCGGGGACGGAGGAAAATTCGGACCCCCTCCCACGTGTCTCCGGCCCATCTCAAGCCTGTCCCCCAGCAAGTCTGGTGCTGGGGTGATGCCAACAAGGTTTCAACCAGAGAAAAATGAAAGCCGTTCACAAATCCCTGTAACACCGAATGGAGCGCAGCTCTTGAGGAGGAGTAGGGAAGGGTACTGAGGGGGGTCACGTCACCTGCCGGTAGTCACGTGACCCCAGGGGTCACGTGATCTCGGGGGGGGGGGGGGGGGGGGGGGGGGGGGGTCACGTGACCCCCTCCCCCCGAAACGGGCCCCTAAGAGCTGCGCTCTAAAATTGGCGACTCCCTCGTACGCGGTTTTAGAGCGCAGCTCTTAGGGGCCCGTTTCCGGCTTGAGCGGCGTCGGCGTCAACGTAACCGCGCGGTGCATTATGGGAAATGTCCCATAATGCACCGCGCGAGCCCCCCACCGGGGTCACGTGACCCCCGCCGATGTCACGTGACCCCCTTGATGACGTCATAATCACTGATTACAGGTTACAGGTTACAGGGAGTTGTAAACGGCTTTCACTTTTTAGTTGTTTTGCCTAATCCCCCAAAGGTCCTCCTGGCGATCTCCCCCACAGCCTGGCGGTAGTTACACAACTGCATTTGCTTAAAAGGGGAGGGACCACATTTTTTTGTTTTGTTTTTAGGCTAAGTGGCACGAGCTACCGCCCGTAATATAGAATACAGCCATTAACATCCAACCATCCATCAGACGTCTAAAGTGTCGTCACTGCGAAGCGCGGCTTATTGAATTGCCCCAGTTCCACCCATCCCACGGTTCCGGGCAGAAGGCGGAGGAGGACGCGGAGGGCAACTCACCTGCGGCGCACCTACAAGAGGACGCACTTGGTCTTCTTCTTTGGATTCATCTTCTTCTCGGGGTTCTTGCGGTTGATCTGCCGCACCAGGTCGTAGAAGATCTCGTTCACGTTGATCTTGGCCTTGGCCGAGCTCTCGAGGAAGGCGCAGTTGCTGAAGTTGCGGGCCAGGTTGATGCCCTGGTCCTTGCCCACCACCCGCTCGTCCTCCAGGTCGCACTTGTTGCCAATCAGGATCATGGGAACCTGCCACCCCGAGATGCCGTCGGCGTGATCGGTCAGCCTTCTCGGGTCACCATATTTTCCGGTCTGTCACACCCCATATGAACGGCTATTCTCGGAAAATGGTGCTACAAACTAAGCTGCACCGATGATGCCAAGATGCAGATGGTATTTTTATTATTTGCACCGCCAACCTTGCACCTCCTGCACGAGCGGCAACTTTAGTGCACACTCACGATTCAGGTCGTCCTAAAATTAACAGAATGAAAGGTTTTTGATAACGCTCAGCAAGTTTCTACATGGAATCAGATGTTTATTTTCACCAATTAAAAAGATAATGAGTAAATTTAGGGTGATTATTCGGTGACTTGACGCATATTACAGTGTAGACCACTTACAACGTAACCGCTTATAGTGCAGGACTGGGTATAACGCGGTTTTTTTAAACCACCGGTTCACCTCCCATAGAACTCCATGTAATTACATAGCGCTTAAAATGCAGGCGCGCGAAGGGAAATACCGGTTATAGTGTGGTTTTTGGCACAGCCCGCCGACCGCGCCGACGACCGGAGCAGCGAGCTCGCTTCCCTGTGCGACACTAGATAACGGCGCTGACGGCGCGAGCCGCAAACTGCACTCGCGGGGCAAGGAGGTTGCTCGAAAACGCGGAGAGAAGCGAAGGGAGAGGCTTCAGTTGCCATAGCGACGGAGGGACGCACGCACGAGTCGTTCACGTGCGTGCGTCCCTCCGCTGAGTTGGAAAACAACCGCAACGACAGACCAATCTCAGGTCGAGGAGAAGTGTTCGCGCGTGTTACATGCTGGTCGCGGGCCGGCTGCTTCTATTCCGCAAACATGGCGTCGGTTGTGATCGTCGTCGTAGACGGCGTGCATCTCATCGTTCTGCGTAAAAGCGCTATCCTTGACTGTGAATTTTCGTTGTGTGTCGCTATGATAACCCAGCACGTACAAGAAGGGAAGATCCACCTACTCGTGCGGCGATGTTGTGGCGGCGCTCTCAAGACGGCAGAAACGCCCGTGTCGTCGTGTTTGTTTACTTCGACTACAGTGGTGATTTCTAAGCTTTTGTGTCCTCGAACATCGCCCGGATTTCTTATTTGGCGCTCAAGTTGAAGGTATTACTGGCGCGTACCGTATGAAGGATGCGAATTTTCATGCGTTTTCATCTCCGGAGAAAAGGGATTAGGGTTAGCAATCCTGAACGCTCGCAACGTCCGTCCGCAATCCGCGACGCCGTTAAAAGGCTGCGCCAGGCAAAAGCCGCTCATTTCTTTCGAAATGTGTGAAAGACTTGAAACAGAACTGTACTAGTCTGGTGAAATAAAGACTTTCCTCAAACTAAGCTTTATTTTTCATCTAAGATAAAATAAATTCTTTTACAAAGGTAAGTTGTCTCATGGCATGTATTTTGGCCTGAGAAATTGAGGTTTTGGTTATAGTGCGGTACCGCTTATAGTGCGGATTTTCGCGACTGCCGAGACATACGTTATATGCGGTCTACACTGTATTCTTTTCTGCAATCTCCGACGTCCGCCGTGGCTGGCAGCTTGTTCCCAAGAAACAACTTTTTCTATCAAACACCCTAATTTTAGGAAGGGTTGGAAGTCTACGCAGAAGCACCCGGCATATTTGTAACCCTGGAACGATGCGTTTGCGGGATCAATTTCTCACAATATCCCTCATATCGCAAAAATTGGGTCCTCACGAAATTTAGGCCGTTTACAGTATGTTGAATGCTTGTCACGCACGGCAAAGCTGCTCCGGGATATACCGTAAACGACCCAATTTTCGCAATGACCTAATTTTGGCGAAATTCGCAACTCGAATAATATTGCGAAAAATAGTTCCTCCAAATATGCTTTTTTATCATAACAAATACAAAGCATACCACTCCCAATTCGCAAAGTTTCGGTGCCCCGCAAAGTATCCCCGAAAACCAGACTTCACCGAATTCGCAAAATATTGAGCCCACGAAGATAGTCGTTTTAAGTAGTCAGAATTATTTCACCCAGCTACTACTTTAGCTATGCATTCTTTGGAAGGAACAGATCCCACAACAGACCGCGAAAAAATCTGTTGCGCAAGCACCGAACTTGGACAACAGATTCGCCTTTCTTAGTCGAGGATGTTGCTTGTCTCTTGGTTGCTTATTTTTTTGCAAGACAGAAAGAACACAACCCCATCTGCAGAACCCTCTTCAACTGCCATAATAAGTGACAGAACGAGAACCACGGGACGTCTCTTTCGAATTCCCGGCCTCCAGCACAGACGCACTCACTGCCATGCTTTGGCTGCGCATGTACACTGGAGGCCCGTGAGGTGCCAAAGCGCTAGGGAAAGTGGGAAGTTCGCGCAGGAGGCGGGAGAAGTGAAAAAAACTTTTTGCCATTCTAATTCCACCAGTGACCATGGCACCCCAACTACCTGGCAGGCACCCACCCCGTGCAAGCACCCGCAGAGGCGGGTTGGCAAATCCTACGCCCCCTCACCCCCACCCAAGACTAACAAAGCCAAATTTGGGGGCTTTATGTGCCAAACCAACGCAGGGAAACTGGCACGCCCCGGCGAAGGAACGAAGGTTAATTCTGACCGCCCGGGGACATTTCGACGTGCAACTGAAACCTCGGTTGCGTGTCGACGAACTTCCGTCAGATTGCGAGAACCCCAGCCGGGATTCGAACCCGCCACCCGGGGATCCGCAAGCCGGCGCCTCGCCTCGGGACGGCCGAGGCGGCCGAAGGAAGTGAGGAAAAGGAGGAGCGCACGTACGTCGTCCATGTCTTTGACTCTGAGGATCTGTTCGCGGAGGTCTTGGAGGTCGTTGAAGGTCGACTGGGCCGTGATGGAGTAGACAAGCACAAAGCCCTGCCCATTCTTCATGTAGAGGTCTCGCATGGCCGTGAATTGTTCCTGGAACAGGATGAGGAACGCTCAGTCTAAGGCACTAAACAGAAACGATGACAGCCTCGTCTTTGCCCTCTCGATGCCTAGACCTTGGCCATAAGCGAAACACCAGCGAGAACGGTAGAAGCGTTTATGTGAAACAAGGGGATGATTGAGGAAATAGGGTTGTTTTAAAAATGCTTCGAGTACCCCTGGAAAAGTTATAAGTGTGCATTTGTAGCCTCATACTTGATGGTCCAGCTAGTGGCCGCAACAAAACTTTGAGCACACCCGCGTTAATTCCGCGGTACGGTACCAGCGATGGCTGAGACACGTCACGGCCAAGTCTTTGGGCATCGCACGCATACCGTGGAGTATGTGAACAAAAGGGTTCGGAAAAAAAAACAACATCCGACCATTTTGTTCCAAATGCTTTTGTTTCTCTTCAGTTCCAGAGCACATGAACGCATATTTTCCGGCACGAGCTCTTGGCATTGACGGTGCTACGACAATACCACTAAGCTACACCGTGGCATAGCTTAGTGGTAACGTCTCCACTTTGCACACAGGGGGTCCTGGTTCAATTCCCGCGGGTGGTGGGCAATCGTTTTTCAGGATTTTGCAACATCGGCGGTGGATGCCCTACATCGCCAACTACAACATTAATACAACAATGGACGTAATTTCCAGCAGTGGGAAGAGCCTGCAACAGGTATCACCGTAACATGCCCCACACTCTCCCAACCTGAGAGCTCTAGAAATGAATGGCTAGAGGAGAAAGTGCAGGAAAAGGGGGAATGGCACGATACAAACTAACAGCCTTCTACAGTAATCAGGGTGCCTAGCAAATTATTTGGAAATTCCCCCACTTTTCTAGGTTTTCCCTGAACATTTCAGGTGAAATTCGCTGACCGCTGCAGAGGCGGTTAAATATATAAGACCATTACAACAAAGGCATTCAGCACTGTGAGGATCATTTTGCATGGGCTTAATCCAACTTGCATATTCTGAAATATTCGGGTTCGTCCACTCCGAAATATATGAGTACTTTTTTTTGCCATCAACATTGTCAGTAAAGAGGCTGCGTCCGGAAACACCATGAAAACACGACGCTCAACCACAAACGTCAATAACCGAATGGCAGCGTGGCCGCCAGATGCGCACTTTCGGATACTTTCGGCGGAAGCCTTGGAGTGAATTGGGGTCTGCGGCTTTTTCATTTGTTACTAAATCTAGTAGCTCTAACTGTATCTAGCCTAGTGTTGTGCCCTCAATCCAATCTAGGGCTTGGACTGGATTTGTCGGCTGTTCCCTTTGCATCGGGTAGCACACTCTAATCTGGTAAGCAGAGCCCGCGCTCCGCTCTAAGCAGAATTTATTGCTTATTGTTCTGCCCCCAAGCCCTCAAGTCTTTGCTCGGGGCACTCGACGGCGTTTCCGGCTCATTTTCGACAATTTCCCTGACAATTCCCGGTTGCTAGACACCCTGGTAATGAAAAGCTAAACGGGCAAAATGCCATTCAACTCTTTCGGCGTTATAGCCACTTCCTAAGGACTGCGACCGCCCTCAAACGCGAAACGTAACTCTAAGTACTAAAGTTCCTTTGTACTTTGCAGCACATCTGATCCAACCGATACAAAAAGAGAAATGGGCCACTCAAAACCGAGTCTTCTCGAGCCGCTCACTTTGGTTTGGAGGTAATGTGGCACTGGACCTTCAGAAGCTCAAAGCACCACCACTTCTCAACTGCATGGGCTACCGAACAGGGGACACTGTTGGTGGTCTAGAGTTGCATTGGACACTTGCAGCGACAAAACCGTGACACCAACGACTGAACTCAAATTAATGGACTCCAAAGCATCGATACTTACGCGTCCACTCATTTTTTTCAGACCATGTACTATTGAATGAGGGAACATGGCAAAAGATGTGCCGTCAGGTCACAAAATCTTTTCGTACTAACTTCGGAAACAAACAAATGCGAAAGATTCTTCCAGATTGAGAAAAGCACGGATTGAGGTCACTTCCTCCCTAACAAATGTAACTTTGAGCAGGCTCAAAACAGGGCAAGAAAAATACCCTGTTTGCATTCCATCTAATCAAGAAAGTATAGCTTTCATGGGAGCAATTACATTGGCATGTCCTTCTTAGGAACATTTTATTACAACAAATTAGTTACCGAAATTCCATTCCACAAAACTTGTTTGCCATTTGTGAACTAGCCTTTAAAAACGGGACACGTTAAAACACCTAATTGCTCTTATCTGTAACGATAAAGTGCAAAAAAAAAACAAAAAAACTGCATTTTGGTTGCTTGATGCTTCTTGGCAATCAAGCATTAAAATAAGTCAAGCTGAGCAAGAGGCAGTACATTTGGGATAAGTATCTTTTAAGTATTGCCCTACTGAACTCCTTCGATCCCAGCACATTGCAACATGCCAGCATTTTCCAACTGGACAAGTGCCGACTGTGACGTAATGTTAGAAGGATTAAGTCTAACTTCGCAGTCGGATACACGTTAATAAATGTAATCGCTTTATGGTGCTGGGCTAAGCTTCCACAGTGCCCAGTATGGAGATCATAAAGCCTTGTGCAATTGAGGGTAACTGATCGAGATCACAATTGCATACCTGCCAACCTGTGAACTTTCAAATTCGTAAAAGTCCCGCGGTCGCGGGGGGGGGGGGGGGGGGGGGGGGGGGGGGGGAAGGGGGTTAAGAGAAGCGATGTGCAGCCTAATGTCAGCCCGGCCACTGTGCGAAATGCTTATACCACATGTGCACGTGCTACAGATTCCAAACTTCTCTCGCTTTTTGGGCGGCACGAAGCATGGGAATTTTGACGTGAAGGACTTCAGGAATATCTGAAAGTGCCTTTTTTGAGGTTTGAAGTTTGCCATGGCGCTGCGAAGCCACAGCGACCAGGAGAATGCTACGGTTACACGTGCAACAAATGCAGACGCCGTACTTCTCGCCTTGAAACTGGCCGAAACAACAAGGCCGAACAACGTCTGAGCACGCCGAACCAACGTGCGCCACCGAACACACGGCTATGAGCTTTGGATGGGTTTTCGATCCGTGGCCACCGGATAGACGGATAGTAAAAACTACGACGCTGCCGTGGACAGTAGTCATCGCCCTCATGTGGCGGTGCAAGATATCGCCAACAACGGATCAACAAAAAAAAAAAAAAAAAAAAAGAAATTACAAAAAAATATATTTTCGTAAGATTCGAAGCAAGATTCGTAAAATCGTAAAATTAGTCCCAATTCATACATTTTACGAAAAATTCGGAAGAGTTGGCAGGTATGCAATTGGGACTCATTTTGATTTCTATGTCGCCCTTCTGTAGGAACTCTAAGGGGACACCCAATCACCTTGCTGTCAAAGGCATTTGAAACAAGCCTCCACTTCACCAAAGAACACCCATTTTTTCAAGTAAAAATTACAAACTCACCGTGCCCGCAGTGTCGAGGATTTCCAGCATGCACTGCTGGCCGTCCACTTCCACTTGCTGAAAAAAAAAAAAAAAAAAGCAAGATCAGCAATTTTTTCTTTAAAACAATCATCAAGAAAAGATGACAGCCCCATGTACAGTCTACAGTCCCCTCCTAAGATAAAATTTATGAGTAGAAAAAAACTAAAATTACAGATGACATCCTTTTTTCTTTTCCCTCTAACATGATGCAATACAAAAATAGGGGGGATTGTCATGTTCTGGAACTTTTGTATGCCTCGTACCGAAATTTAGACCCTAAAATTGACAATTTGAGCATGCTGGCAGAACGAGCACGGAAGTGATCGTCCACCACACCCCACCGTTGACCTCGCCTGCAAGTGAAAGAGGTAGCGTTTCGATCAACATGTGCGGGGATGGATCCCCAGAACATTGGACCGGCGAAGCCAGTTCAGTTTCACCGATGCGGCAGTTAGGTCTAAGCAAAACTGGCTCGGTTGCGTTTGCAAACCGGGTTCCATTTCGTCACATCAGTGGGATGCCGCTAAAGGCGAGACTCAGGCTGCTGAGACTCACCTTACGGTAACTGTCCTCGATGGTGGGGTCATACTTCTCCACGAAGATGCCCTGGACAAATTGTACCGTCTGTAACGGGAAAAGAGACGAAGGAACAGGTTACCGCTGGGGACTCGCATCTCCAAACGCGCCGCAACCGCGGCACGGAAGAATGCGGGTCACTTACTAGGGCGCTTTTACCGACGCCTCCGCTTCCCAACACCACGATCTTGTACTCCCTCATCGTTGACCCAGACAGGGCTACGGCTGCAAGCACAAAAACACCACCAGGGTTAGAACACTCCGCGGGTCACTGACAAGCCGAGCCTTGTCAGCGATCGAAGGCCGGCCTCGACAGCGACAGGGTCGGACTTCGATGCTGTTTCAGCGTGGCAACGAGTGCATGCTGGAAGCATTCCACAAAGGCATCTGGCCGTTATTATCCCACCAGTGACCATTGAGAGCGACGACGGTCAGAACGAGATGCGGACAATGTATCCAGAGTGCTGGGCTAGGTTGTGCAACCTGCCACAGGTACTAGACTACCCCGACTTTTAATATATTTAGGACACATAGTTTGCAAGTTATGTCACCGTGAAAAAGAGAGTGAGCGCAACTGAAACTGGCCAATTCTCGACCAGCTGTTTTCGGGCAGAAGCAAAACGAATTTCGAGCCACAAATTGCGTTCTGGGTAGTTGGGCTCTTATGCAGAGTGCAAGCTTGTCTGCCTCTTGCACAGGGATTGCGATGATGTCAGAACGCCGTGCTCTTATTGGCCGATTGAAAAAAGATTGTGGGCAGACATCAAGGCATCTAGCATTGAGGTCTACCGTTCCTTTCAGACAAAGGCAATCAGAGCTCGGCATCGTTCTGACATCACCGCAACTCCTGCGCGAGAAGCAGACGACTTGCTCTCCGCATAGGTGCTGTTCAAATAAAGGCCTCTCTGATATACATGCACCCGTATATCATCAGTGCGTGATGCAAGTTAAGGACACCAGGTTATACCCTGTTCACCGCCAAGCTGCTGGAAGCAACATGCTCATTTGGACATGTTTTGTCTTTCGCTCATACCTACTTGTACCGCTCACACCCGCACGAAAGGAGTGGGGTCAGCTAATGAAAGAGAGGCTGTTGATTGGTTGATTGATTGAATGAGGTATGAAACCATACTGGACTGCCAAACTTTCAATCCGAGCATGTAACTCTAACGGAAAGGCTCTGGCAGACTAACCTCACTGTGTCTAAACATTCAACGTGAAGTTTGACTTTGACTAATTTCTTGAAAAGCCAATGGACGTTTCGTTTCCCGTGGTGGCACAAGCTAGTACTGACGGAAGACTGACGACACCTTGAACAAACAACTGGTGTAAGCTGCAGCACTGCAATTTCATTTTGACGGCAAGATGAAATGCTACAGGCTTTTTGCTCAACGATTTGCAAGCAGCGATTGTGACGGACCTCGGTAATGGCTCAACTACGGAAAATCTCGGATGCAATGCCTAGGCTGTAAACAACATCACATTTGCAAGGCCTCATCTTTTTACAACATGAAGCCCATGACGGCAGAGATCAATTTCAAGCACAGGTGTAAAAATGTATTGGCTAGCGTGGGTTATTGCGCATTTGCAATCATATCCAATTCGCTAAGTATGTTTTTTTGCACGACTGCAAAGCGCACATTTTTTACCAGAAGCATTTGCTAATGGCAGCAGATATCGCAAACTCTGCAATTTGCAACTACTTAGGCCCACTTCAGACGGGGGCAACTTTCTCACCATTTTTTGGGGATTGCTGGCGGGTTGTTCCCTAGCTTTCCATAGACAGACATGAATTGCTAAGGTCGAATCCGGCTCGAAACAAGCGAGCAACTCTGAGCAATTCAAAAACGTTCGAAGCGGCAGCAGCTAATCAGGGATGCAATATTTTCTTGCGGTACCCTGTGCCAATGATGATGAGAACTAAGACTTGCTTCTGGCTTGAAATTAGTAGCTTTTGAAAATAAACCATTTCAGAAACATGAGTTAGTATTCTCAACGCCACTTAAATTCATAAAAACATGTTTATAGCACATTACTGTGTGTCTAAATAGTTGAAGAAAAATAAAATTGAATGATAATGATGGCAAATTGCAGCAATCGGATACTGCATATGAACACAGGTGGCCCCTGTGCTGGTATTGCAACGTGAAGTTGCTGGGAGAAATTGCCCCGTCTGAAGCAGGCCTTACAAAATTATTTATTCCAAATTTCGGAGTAAAAAAAGCGAACATACTGGAATATAACTAGGGTTTTATGTTTTCAGTAAATACAGATAAACCCCGAAAATTAACTCTGAGACTGTTTTACCAAAATCGGTGAAAACCAAGAAACCCCGAACTGGAGTTGTCTTTAACTAAGAAAAGCCAAAGCTACACAGGATAAAAATTTGTGTGTTAGTTTAATTTTGTGCTAACCTTATTTAAAACCCCCCTGAACTGTCTGCGAGGCTGTTTCATTCTTCAAAACCACATCCCTTATCACATTTTCATTTCTTTACGGCAAAAATACACTCTCTAAGGAGTCGGATCATAGCCAATGTTCTCTGAAAGCTAAATTCCATTCCCTCGTCTCATTTTCTGAAACATAATACGCGGTAAATGCAGATTGTCTTTCTGACCTGGAAATTGACACAGGAAAACACCGGATCTGTAAGCAAAAATAAATCGCCCCCTTCCAAATAAAAAAAGAAGCTATTTTGAAAAAAAGCAAACTTTGAAAACACGAAACCCTAAATATACACCTTGATTGCACAAAACTTGTAACAAAACTTGGTGTCCAATCAGTATGCAGCAATGCAACCCTTACATTACATGTTTGCAGGATTCACTAGCCAGTGGGATAAGCCAGTCGACAAATTGCTTTTGACGTAATGTCGCAGCTTAATTTCGCGCCATCCTTATCCAGCACTGCTACATATGCTGTGTAGCTTATACAGCACCTCAAGCAACTCTATAATATTGAAACATTGGGGGCTTACGTGCCACACCAATGAAGGGCATTTGGCTCACCTAAGTGAAAAACTTAGGTGAGCCAAAACTTAGGGATTAAACAACTTAGGGATTAAACAAAAACTTAGGGATTAAACAAGAGTGCCCATGTGCCGTTAACATGCAGCCGAAATCTCGGTCACCGGCGCCTATGCCGGAAACAAATGCCCCACCATCTTGGCTATCGTTAGAGTCAGCCAACCAGAGATATAAAATCACAGAGATGGCCAAATTCATAAACAACAACTCCACATGCCATCTCTAACCACCACAGTGTGCACGCGACTTCAGAAAAAACAGTCGCAGCATGGAACAACTCCTTTTCCACCACAAGAGCCACGACCGCACCGACCGACATAAAAGCGAGGTACGCCCCAGAAACACTCCAAAGACGACCGAAGAAGGGGGCCAGCCAGGAAGTTGGCAGTGACACGCAAGCTCCCCCGCAAGGCTGTGGGCCCGAAAGGACAGGTGGATGGCCGGGACACCCCAACTGACAGACAGGAGCAGCCGGGTCTGCGGCAGGGTCTCTCCCCCCACAAGCAGACCTGGCGCCACTCCAGGTGAAAAGCCGTCGCCGCACCCTGCCCCATTAAAGTCTACGGAGCCAAAGCTGCACCTCGGCTCGTCCCATTGCCCGACTGCCTTCTCGGAGGGATCGTACTCGCCGAGGTTGCGGTCACACGGTCCGAAAGAGGTGGGCCGCTGGTTCAACCGGCCCGTAGCTCCCTCCTCGCCGTCGGCTAGCGTGGGGACGGCGCGGCGTGTGGGATAAACCCCGCGTGCTTGCTTCGAAATGCGGTTAACGGGAAGGAAGTCGCCTCCCCCTCTACTTCCAGGGAAGGAAGTGCTGGGACGGGGAAGGGAGGCAGCGGGGCAGTAACCTCCTTTCGAGAGCCCCTTAATTCCTCGTACGCAACAGTCTCCGGACGGACCTTGATCTAGTTAGGGGCAGACGGGGCTCTGGGAGTCGTTCGAGACAGACGCTAGCACGCCGAGTTTCGCGCCGCAGAATCTGGCGCCAGACTCTTGCGTCTAGACTGGGGCATGACGAAGGGAATTTGTGCCTTTCTTGTAGTTGGGCAGGTTAAGGCAAAAAGACTACCGTAATAGACCCTTTTCAAAATTGTGCACCATCTAGCGGCTGCTGCGCATATTCCGCCGCAGTTTAGGCGTGCACTCTCTGCATGTTCTCGACACTGGTGCCAAGCTGGTGTTCAATACCGGTGTTCAGCTAGGACTTCGATTTAATCAAATGCTCTGTGCCTGAGAAATGGCGACCGCTTATGTGACTTCATGGGGCTTTGAAAGGAGTCTTTCACGTAGTCTAAAGAAAGAAGAGGCAAGCCGGTTAACTTGCATCGGGGAAACGCAAAGACGCGAGCTGCCGTCTGTCACAAAATTCAATACTGGAGGGACGCGCGCGGCGTGCGACCGAGACTCTTGGACGGGAACCGCACCAGCATTTGGAACCCTACGGAGACAGAAAAGAAACGCACATGGGGGAGAGACGGCAAGAAGTGGGATAGTCCGTGTTTTTCCTATTTCTACTCAAGTCTTGGGTATTACCATCATGAAGTTGAAACGGCTTGCCTCCACTTTTACTGTCCTTTGTTAACATTTTTGCATTATTTATAAATGAGCATATGCTGGCAGTAGGCATTAGGTCTTTTCATCTTGTGCTGGCAAGCTGATGTCTAATTGGAGCTACTGACATCTACAATTTCAGGGGCTGGTAATTTCTTGTTGTCAAAGCCTAGCTCAGATGGCCAGCTGTTGCTGATTCAGTGCAGATATCAGGCAGTAAAGTTAGCAGCGTTCTACAACAGCCAAATGGCAAGAGCAGTCGTGGATTATCCAATCGTGTTGCCCTGTTGAGCATTTGGCAAGCATACGATTGGGTGGACTTCAGCATTAACTCAACATTTGATCGATCAGGTAGATGACAAAAATTAACAGCCACTGAAACGATTTGTGCGCAACATAGCTCGTCTTAATTCAACTTTCTCCTCTTAAATAGTGCTGGGTGCTCTTGAAGTCACACGCTCACTTGGTCTTAATCAGTTTCCCCACCTCTACAAACAAAAAATAATGACTGCTCCAGACACTAAGCAGGAATGTAGCTCCACGTTTCGACCGTTGAACACACCAGGAAGCTATAGGTCGGTGTACAAGGTCAGTCAGCAGTGACGAGCAATTTATCTGCAATAACGGAGCAGAAACGCCCTTTCCAATCCTCCCTCCAGACAAACCGTTTACGTGCTGGCAATATGTATACGAAAAATAGAAAAAACATCAGTTCGTTAATCGCGAGCACAAAAGGACACCGACCCCTTTGGATAAACCAACCAAGACAATGAAGACTTCACAAATTCCGAACGCAAAGTAGATTTTGCAGACCGACAATTGGGAAGTACCGACGTAGCCGCATTCGACCCCGCGCTCAATAACGAGCAGGGACGACAGGAAAGCCTCCTTAAACGCAGCAGGTGGTCTTCCAGGGGGCGGGCAACTCCTGTTTCTACGGGCCTTCAAGTTCATACGGCAACAAAACCTTCAAAACGCCTTTCTTGTTTTTGTTTGTTTTACAACTAACACGCCCCACTACGGAATGTTGTAGCAACGTTCTGCGGTTCGTACCACCAAAAGCGTTGTCAAAAGCTTCCACGCTGCAACATTTACGGTTGGGGGGAGACGAAACCACCGAAAATATCGGCAGGGTGAGCCGTGACTCAAATCGACGGTCATCGTACCAGAAATGACTCAAAATGATGCCTTTTATGGGTGTCGGCGACGGTCCCCTTGATTGGGTCGCCAAACCTCGAATATCTCCCCACATTGGCCGTGTCCGCTCTTGCCGACTCACCCAGCTTCTCAGCAGTCACCGAGAGTGACACTATTTAAACGGAGGTGCCGAGCACGTGAATACAAACGGCGTCTATTTTCTTTTCCTCGAATGAGCCACCCCGAGCAAGCAGACAGTAGGCCTAGTGGGCGCCGATGTACGGCGGCGTTCGGATGACGTGCTGACAGCAGGAAACGACGAACCGATTAATTAAAAGGACGAATAACTGTCCGCGTCGCGTCTAAACTTAGCGACAAGTAGGAAAACACGACATACCTTTTGTGGGGTACGAGAAAATGGATATGTAACAGGGCGATGCCTCTGTATGCTTCCTGGCGCAGTGACGTCAGAATGGCGTGTTGAGCTCAAGTGGTGATGTTGCGCTCCTTGTCTCGTTTCTAATCACTAAGTCAATAAAACCAAGCTTAAATAAAGTAATTTTAAATTTGTTTATTTGATTTTATATTGTAGTTTTATTTTGCTTTTATGGGCTATTGAATTTTTCGTTTTGTGTCTTGGTTGCTCCGTTCCACCTTAATTCCGCCGCAGCGTCGCCAGCGTCGCCGCCATTTTTCACTTCACCTTCATCCTTCGTCTTGTCATCACGCTGTCTTTGTCCGCTCCGTTCGTAACTCTTTCCTATCTCCCTTTCTCCGTGTGTCTTCCATTTTCTTCGAACCTAACCTTTCACTCCTTTTACTCGCCTTCATTTGATCGTCGCTCTGAGATACACTATGATCTTATTTGATCGGACGGAGCGCACCGGGTCGCTTAGGCCTAGCTCTGTTCGAAGTGATGACAAACGAGGAGATTTGAGCCGCGTGCTATGATATGTCCGGCCCGAAACCTATCGGAAGTGATGAACTGGAACGGATATCCCAGGCGCGAAACACGACCTCGTCCGGTTCGCTTTGCCACCAGCAAACGCTTGAGCCGGCGGGCGTCGTGTTTTGGCGCCATGCGGAGAACCTTCAAAACTCTGATCCGATAGCTTCCAAATCCATGGTTCTTCCCTCGCCTTGAGTCTACGGGAGGGTTCGAGGACGCTTTTCACCGATCTTCAGTTGGAATAATAATTGTTCGACGTAAAGCTAGCTGCCTTTTTGTCTACTCTCTCCGAGTACGGTTGGACGTGGAACCCTTGTGTTCGCCGGTCGTTTTTTTAAACTCGTTCGAGCAGTGAGTAGAGGCAAGAGCTGCTAGGGCTTTGCGTCTACCCACTATTCACTCCAGTCGGAACTCTGCGCTCTCGCATCTCGTTGCACTCATCTCCTGGGAAATTTACAGTTCCATAAAAATGAACGTTAAATTAAAAAAAAAAAAAAAAAATTCGGAAAACGTTTTGTCGGAACACGTCTGCTGGGCAACTTGTGGTCGCACAAGTTTGCCCATACTGGGCTAATTCAATTTACTTGCTCTACAGTGTAGTAGAATACTAATATGCTGTACCTGCACATGTGCAGCAGTGTTGCGGAATGGGCACCCCCATTCCATTCCAATTCCATTCCGGGGAATTTGAGTTTTCGATAATTCCATTCCTTTCAACTCCTAGGAATGGGGACACTGGGCCCATTCCCACTCCTGGAATGGATGAGTCGCTATTCCATTCCTCCAATTCCTAAACGTTAAAAGTGTCACTTGACAGCTACGTTACGTTGCAGCGTTGGGCAGAAATATTTAGAAATCTATTTGGAAATACAAATACTGGGATAGATGAAAATAGTTGCTAAGATACTGAGACTCAAGTCTCAAATATATCTATAAAAATGTATCATCATACGTATAGGAAATACATTTTAAAAAGAGGCAAAAAGTCTTTGGAAATACAAATACAAGGATACATTTTAGGGAGGGCAAAAAAATAAATACTGATAATGCAATACATTTTTCAAATTTCTTTCAGACGCCAACTGAGATGAGGCTTTAAATTTGAAGTGGAAGATTTTTCTTTTTTTTTGGCCCAGAAATTACTTTTCTGCAGGAATTTGCACTTCGCCTTGAAGGTAGTGGTCCCGGACGAAGAGTCCTCAATGGGTTTAAAAAAACGTTCCATCAAGGATTGACCGCGGTCCCTTCCCTGGCATTATGTCCGACTGACCAGTGATGCGAAAAGATTTCGAACTCTAAAATTAATTCCATCAAAACATCACCACTTCCCTGTCCAATAAGGGCGCCCCTGTCAGCACTGATCACATGACGTCACGGTGGGATGGACTAGTATTCTTGAATCTGTAGGTGTTGCCTTGAACATGAAACTTTACCCACGCTGCTGTATGAAAGGACAATACATACTTTCGTTGTAGGTGACCTCGTCGAAGACCATGCACGCAGTTGCATTTGGAATTTTCGAGAAAAGTGGACCACCTGAAGCATCGTGAAGCACATGTATTATCTTCTGTTACGGTTGAAAAATCGATACGGTGGCATCCCTGTTGTGACGGTCCTTCCTGCCGACTCTCCGACTCCAACGCATGAATGGCAGTCTTCAAGTTTCGTCCATCCAGCTTCCATGAAATCACCACACACTACCTCCTCTCCCGTCAGGTATACCCGCCAGCCGACAAGTCCCTTACCCTGGAGCAGGCCCACAGTTGGCGCCAACTCCAGACGGGCACTTTTCCTAACCCCGCTATCCTCACCCACATCTTCCCCTCAATGTACCCCACCTCGGAATGCACCCTATGTGGAGACAAAGCCACTCTGCCCCACATAATATGGGCTTGCCCACAAGACCCTTTTCCCTCAATCCCATCCCATGATGAGTGGGAGACCTCGCTCCGAAGCTCCGACCCAGAGGTGCACAGCGCCTTGGTGGAAAGGGCAAAGGAGGTCGCCGCCACAACGGCCACAACGAGGACCGCACTCTAAGGAATTCTCATATTCCGCCAATAAAAGATTTTTCTCTCTCTCTCTCGCCTAGCATCATTCAAACAGTGACCTCGTGGATTGCGACCTGAGATGGCCGGCACAGGTGCGAGCTCTTCGAGAAACAGCGCGCTCGAGACGAGTCGAAAGTGTACGAAGTCTGGGTCCGCACAGCGAGGCCACGTCTGGCCTCCTTCCTGGGTATCGGATCACCAGAGCAGCAGGTCACGTTCGCGTCGGCTGATGACGTACCCTTGAGCCGTGCAATATTACAGGCGCAGACGTATTCGGATATGTGTTGAACTTCACTGATGAAAGGCGCCACCGCCGCCCCCCCCCCCCCCCCCCCCCTCCCCCCTCTGTTTCTTGCTTTGACGCTTGTTTTTTGTATTGCATTTTTTTTCTTTTGCGCATAAGTCTGCTGGGGCCTTACACGGGTTCGCAGTTTCCCGCTCATTTTATTTCTGAACAACCGACTCTTTGACTAGCTCGGTATAGCTGAACGTAAAAAATAAATAAATAAAATATAAAGAACCTGCCCCATTCCATTCCCATTCCATTCCGGGCAAAAGGATTCTAATTCCATTCCCATTCCATTCCCCTGAACGTTGCCGCCATTCCATTCCCATACCATTCCGGGGTCGCGAAAATGCGGAATGATTCCGGAATCATTCCAACTCCGGAGTGGCAACTCCGCAACACTGATGTGCAGTCCATCTCAAAACACAATCGGGCGTGCAATGCCCTACCCTGCACATTCCTGCACCGGTGCAAGCTAATGGAGTCAAATGTGCCCATTGCAGTGCTTTCTGGATATGTGCTGCGATGTTTCGTCGACAAATTTTTTAGTGCGAAGTTGAATCTGGAAGCCGCTAAATTCTAAGCGTGGTCGTCCCCCCCCCCCCCCCCCCACTCTTACTTTCCTGTAAACCGGATGAGACGCAAAAAGTTTGTTGCAAAAACAACAGGGTTGCACTTGGCAAAACGACGCAATATATGTCGACATGTCATTTGGCGAACTGATTAGCACCGCTAACTATCAGAACGCTGATTAATAAATTGGTCGATAGGTAGAATCGCTGGTAGGAATGCTTACAAAGAAAATGTTCCTTTTCTTCCAAAGTTATATAATGACATATGAATACGTGCTGAGTGCACAACACTTGAAATGGCCTATGTTACTCTTGCTCAGTAACTGTAAATATGTTTTCTGCACCATAATATAATTTCCTCGTCGTGATTAGAGCTTTCAAAGCGAGAAAACGTATATGTTTGCTCCGCCACATAGCAGAGTGACTGCTTGTTGATTGCAATTCAAATTGACATATGGTGTCAATTCCTTGGAGGTAGATTAATATGTCGACCTTGGCCCGGTTGTCCACAGTGGCGACTAAGCGCTCTTGACTTAATTGTTCCTACTCCTGGGGTGCTATTTTAACTTTTCAACGTTCCTGTGTTCTGACGTTCGGTCTTTAGATAACATGGCATCTTGATTATTGGTGCTTAATTTGGTGGTAGCATTTTAGCTGATCGAATGGATCAATCAATCAATTGGGTTTATTGTCATGAGTTGCAGCGTACAAATTATTGAGAACCATCTGGGCCCACAGCTTTTTTCTAGTTTGGGCCCGTTTTAATAATAACATATTAGCAAGGCGGCACTTACTGGAAATACAATAAAAGGAAAAAAAAGAAAGACAATAAAAAAGAAACATAGAAAGTGACTTGTTTCACTACAGCAGGTAATTTATATGTTGTATAATAACGACATGCATGAGAAGCACCAGTGTATTCAAAGTGAAAAAGTGGTACTCCATTGATAGAATATGTAAAATTACCGCATCTCCACGTGGTGAATGATGTTGATTGGGGCGAAGCTCCGGTGGTGCTGATGATACTGATTTTGGTCATAGGTAGTGCTGATGGTGCCGTTTTCATTCATGTCAGTAGGAGAATGTGTGGTTTTCTTTTTCTTTTTTTAAGAAGCCAGATGGGATGGCAACTCAGAACACACTACTCTTTTTTTTCTTTCTTTTTCTTGATACTGATTTTGGTCATAGGTAGCGCTGGTGGTGCCGTTTTCATTCATGTCAGTAGAAGAATATGCGGTTTTCTTCTTTTTCTTTTTATAAGAAGCCAGATGGGATGGCAACTCAGAACTCTGCTCAGAACCCCCTACTCTTTTTTTTTTCTTCTTTTTCTTGATACTGATTCTGGTCATAGGTAGTGCTGGTGGTGCCGTTTTCATTCATGTCAGTAGAAGAATGTGTGGTTTTCGTATTAAGCCAGATGGTATGGCAACTAGAACCCCCTACTCTTTTTTTTTCTTCTTTTTCTTGATACTGATTTTGGTCATAGGTAGCGCTGGTGGTGCCGTTTTCATAGAGTGCCTTCATACACACGCGCGCTTTTGCTTGAGTGGTGACATCTCAGCCATTTTTCCGCCCAATTGTTTTTTGTATGCATTTTGAAGTGCGCGCAATCTGGTGTCACTCAGCTC